CCCTTCACGCTGTCGATCCTGGTCTAAAGAAAAATGACTGCTCCTCCCTTCCTCTTTATGCCTGGACAGCAAACAACCTTAGTCATGACTCCCATTTTTACTTCAACTCCAACTTCCCCTACTATCAGCGATATTCGTTGGCCTCGGGAACAAAGGATACCGTGACTTTTCTTAATTGTTCAACCACAATGAATTCTTCCGAATATCTGGACCCATCTCCTTGCATAACTAATTCTTCTCTACCACAAGCTCACCCTCAGTATGTTTTCCTTGGAAATCTGCAAGCAGCATCCCTGAACTTTTGTGAATATGTATTAATGACTCCGGCGGTGATTCAAACAATTGGGAATCACACGTATGCTGATATCCACAAGAAATTGACCATAGGATATGAGCTTTCATGGAGTCAATCTTTTTGTTTAATTTGTGCAGTAAATGGAGGATATTGTCCTTATTCAGATGATTCTCGTGAATCCAAGCGCATCTGCTGCAGAGGACAATTCTCGAATGTTCATTGTGAGGAAGAATCCTTAATGATTTATTTTGGTTGCTAAGAAAATGTATTTAAGGATATAAAACACTGAAATATTACGATAAACACCGCTAAGGCATCAATCGAGTAAGATTTTCTTCGCATGCTCCATTTGTTCGGCTCTTGAGTCTTGACCACTAAAAGTGTCATTAGATTGCTTTTGACTGGTTTGCTCTTTCTTTCAACTTCACTTTTTCTCATTTACAAATATGAAATATTGATTTACCTGTTGCTGTTGCAGGTTTTGGACAATATTTATGGAGCACAATACAGGGTAAGCCTCCAAATAAACTTACTAATAATTCATCGACTATGTAAATATGCATAAACATGATTGAAATCATGCTGATCTGCGTTTTAACATAGCATAGACTCAAAATTTGAACAAATGAATGAATCCGGTGTTTCTTTGAAATTTAACATGATCACTTATTTCTCAGCATGCCACTAATCTGTTTCCCTTCTCTGTCTTACAGGCTGCATAGGACTGGTACTGAAAATTGTTGGTAAGTTTTTCATACAACATATTTCAGGCTAGAAAATTTGTGTTATATGTTTTTGTTTTTTGAACCAAGTGAGTATCATCAGTTCGAACATGACATTTTATATAACTCAATCTGTTTCTAGAAAGTGAAAGAAGTGGATATCATGTGCCATCTTCCACCTTTTACCCTCTTGCACAGTTGAGAAGGAAAAAGGATCGACCTTGATAGATACCAATGATAAACAACATTTGGCAGATAATATCATGTATAGTAGTATTTCTTTTTGGTCTTACTGTTTATGAACTTGCTTTGCATTTGTGTTTTTTACCTTGTGAAGGGTGTTTTACCATGTTAAAAGCTGCCGTTGGAATCCCATGCACGTTTTCGTGTCTAGTTTATAAATGGTGGAGACGAGCGTCAATCGATAAATGTGTTGAAGAGTTCTTGCAAAACTACTGGATGACAGATGACAGATGACAGATGACAGATGGCTTCAAGGAACAACTGGGTCAAGGTGGCTTTGGCTCTGTATTTATGGGAAAGCTATCAAATGGTTGTCTAGTTGCGGTAAAGATGCTGGCAGAGGCCAAGGGCGATGGGCGAGATTTCATGAATGAAGTGGCAACAATTGGGATGATCCGCCATGTACACGTGGTACAACTTCTTGGATTCTGCTTTGAAGGATATAAAAGGGCTCTCATATATGAATACATGTCCAATGGATCTCTTGACAAGTATCTGTTCTCTCAAGAGGACGTCTGCACTCTAAGTTGGAGCAGGATGTATGAGATTGCTTTAGTCATAGCTCATGGGATTGAATATCTACACCGAGGTTGTCATATGAGGATCCTGCACCTTGATATTAAGCCTCACAACATCCTTCTTAACGAAGACTTCACTCCAAAAATTTCTGATTTTGGCCTTGCCAAGTTGTATCCAAGAAATGATAGTGTAGTTTCTCTGACAAATGCTAGAGGAACTATGGGATACATGGCTCAAGAATTGCTGTATAAAAGTATTGGAGGCATCTCCTCTAAATCGGACGTTTACAGTTTTGGAATAGTGTTGATGGAAATGGCTGGGAGAAGGAAAATTCTCAAATGTTCGTGGAGAATTTGAGCCAAATCTACTTCCCATCATGGATTTATGATCAACTAGAACAAAAGGGTAAAGTGGAAATCAAGAATGCCACAGCTGAGAAAAAGGATATAGGCAAAAGGATGATCATGATTGCTCTCTGGTGCATACAACTGAAGCCTGCAGATCGTCCTTCCATGACCAAAGTGGTGGAGATGCTTGAAGATACTTCAGAGCCATTGCAAATGCCTCCCAAGCCCGCTTTAGCTCCAGAAAGGAAACGTAGCTGATGGTCTTCAGAAATCTTACAATAAGGAATCACTTTGATGAAAGTGCTATGTAATTCCGTGTGTGTGCTTGATTTTGTTCTTATGATATATATCTGCAAGAATATAGTTACAGTTGAACATGCACCAATTACTTAAATTTAGCACAAATGATCAAGTTCTAGCAAACATCAAGGTGCCAAAATGTCTTGAATATTGAGAATTAATTACCTGTCATTAAAATACTACATCTCACAGAAAATTGCATGGCTCATGCTTATCAATAAAAGTTTCAATGCAATAATTAAAAGAGTTCAATCTAAATCTGCAGCGGATTTTGCATAATCACCAGAACAATCTTAGTGGAGTAATTCACACTAAAACATTTAAATTTATAAGAATTTTCAATTTGAAAACTTCATGTCTAAATTTACAAAAGCTGACATTTTAGGATTTTGTTTTGGGCTAGTATTAACGTTTTTGGAACATTTAGGCTACGGCCCAGCGGGTAAACAATAAGGGCCTGAATTTCCTGACTGCATGAGGTCGTCTAGTTTCTCTGGCCCAATCATATTTCAGGACTAATATGCAAACATACAAAAGGAAAACTCATGTACTAAAGTATGATTACTTTATTTTATTTTTGAAATATATTTTAGGATGAGATGCAGCGAAAATCGATCTTAAGAATTTTATGATGTTTATGACAATACAAAGGTTTAATTATTTAAACAGGATGTTTTTAACAAGAAATGGAAAAATGATTCACAGATTTTACCCAAAAAAAAATCCCACTAACAGCTAAATTAAATGTCTACTAAAATTAATAGTAGATGGAAAATCTATGGCTTTGCAGTTGGAGTTTGATAAGAGCTTGGCTTTGGGTTTCGGTAAGGCGCTAAGGGATGATGGTGTAAAGAAGTTTAATATATAGACAGACGTCCTAATTCTGGGGTCTCCTTTTTTGGGTTGGACAAGGGAGTTTTATGTTTTCTGGGTTTGGTGGCTGATCCCATGGGCAACCGGATCTCTGGTATTGTTTGCCTATGCGTAGAACAAGCCATGGAAGTGGCTTTTTTACTCTGCATGGACCGTTCTGCGCTACTAGCGTAAAGGGGTAATTTTTTGTTAATATCATATTAGTAATGAAATCACCAAAGTTTGCTTTTTCAAGAACAAAAAAATTAAAACAAAACGATGCAGAAGGAATGAAGGATGCAAACCAAGAAAAGAAGCTGTATTTCTGCGATTAACAATTTGGAACTGTCACAGTATCTTAACATGACAATGCTTAAGTGTCAAACTGATTAACAGAATACTACCATATTACACAAATTATCACTATAGTTCACAATTCTTTCATAATGATGCGAAATAGGAGTCCTTAAGTTCACTGGTGCACAAGTGCACTTTCATTCTGACCAGGAATGGCTTGCTTATGGGACATTCATGTCACTTGCTTCCGAGCTGAGGGAAGCAAAAGGATCCGGTGGTAGGGGTAAGCTTCCTTTTCTTCCTTCCAGCATCTGAATTACAGTGCTTATCGGAGGACGATCGCTCGGATCCCATTGTACGCACCAGATCGCCACAATTGATAACTTCTTCGCAATGTCAGCATCTCCATCTTTTTCCCCTTTAATTCCCAAATCCTCCCCACTTGCGAGGCGATCGTAAACCCACTGAGGAAAGTAAACTTGGCTTGTGTTTTCCACTGTCAGATCCTTGTTTTTCCTACCTCCAACCATTTCAAATAACAGCATGCCGAAACTGTAAACATCTGTTTTATATGATACATTTCCGATGTTCCCGGAGAAGTAAACCTCTGGTGCAATGTAACCCATGGTCCCTCTGACAGCAGTTATGGACACGACGCTTTCCTTCTTCGGAAAAAGCTTCGCTAAGCCAAAATCTGATATCTTGGGATTGAAGTCCATGTCTAACAAGATATTTTGTGGCTTGATATCAAAATGCAGGATTCTTTGGTCACATCCCTGGTGAAGATACTCGATTCCCCTGGCAACACCAATGGCAATATCTTGAAGCTTTCCCCAACTAAGCTTCGGCCTCCTTGAATTCGCTGGAAAAATAAATTTATCTAGTGACTTATTTAGCATGAACTCGTAGACGAGAGCTCGGTCTGATTCATCTGCACTATAACCCAATAATCGAACCACATTGACATGATGAATCCTTCCAATTGTACTGACTTCATTAATGAAATCTTCTCCATTGCTTTTGGAGTTGTCCAGTACTTTCACAGCCACCGGTACTCCATTTTCAAGCTCACCCTTGAATACACTTCCATAGCCTCCTTGGCCTAGCTTCTGCTTGAATTCATTTGTCATCTTTTGAATGTCTGCAAATGAGTATCTTGTTGGATTGAGAGACCTAAAATCTTCCAAAAATTTCTTAATTTTCTTTCGATTCTCCTCCGCCTCTGCTCTTCTTGATCTCAAGTACAAGATAATTAATGTGACCATGAGCGTTAGAGTAAGAATTCCGATTGAAATTCCGATGCTTACTTCTGCAGACAATTCATAGCTGATCATAAGTTTGGATGTAATTTGTCTATGACAACGTAATACAATAAGAACATATGTACTCTGGGTATTTATGTACACTTACCTTTAATGATATGCCCTGCTGATTTCTCTGCAAAAATCGAAAGATAACGAGTTAGAAAACTAATATTTCCGTGTCTCTGTTGGAATATAGAAAAACTAAAGTTGAAACTCTCAAGTTTCAACGTAATTTGGGTATAATTATTTAATACAATAAGAGCATATGTAATCGAGATATAGACTTACGTTTGATGATAGGTCCTTGCGATTGTACCGCAAAAATCAAACGATGAGAAGTTAGAAAACCAACATTTCCATGTCTTTGTTGAAATATAGAAAAACTATAGTTGGAGGTTATAAACTAAAACCATGTTAAGCTAGACATCTGCAAAAGGAAGTAGTGGTTCTGGAATTCCAACAACATATCATTTGAAGGTTAATTCGTTCTTGGTATTAACAAATTTTAAAGAGAAATGAAATTTCACTTGCAAGATAAAATTAAAAAAAAATGTGTCAAGATAAAAGCACTATATGTATATATATATATATATATGTATAGTATAAAAGTAGTATATGAGAACATTTTTCCTTGTCAATATAGTAGAAAGATTAAAAGGAAAAGAAATTGGTGGATTTAAACATTTTCATTCTTAAAATCCAATCACCCTATAAATGAGCAGAGAGTATGAAAAGGAACATTGATTCAACTAATAATAATGATAATTTCAACTAATATTAATGATGATTTCAACTGTAATTTTAGTAACTATTTTTTCAATATATCAATTGTATCAGATATGGGGAGGAATAAGATGAATTTTTCCCTTTCCCCTTTTTTTTTTTATTTCCTTCCCTCCATTTTTTTCAATCATGCAAACTATCCTGTCTTGTAAATTGTGTAGTAAGAGCAAAGAGAACAGAGTATAAAGCGCATTATTAATTTGAAGTGTTGGTAGGTTGGTGCAGAATTCTTCTTCAGAAGTCGACCTCAAGTTTGATTAGCTTATTTCTTAATTATTTTATTATTGAATAAAATAAAAGTTTATTTTATAATTAATATTTTAAAATTAAAGATATATTATTTATTAATAAAATAATTTAATTAGAATGGATTAAGTTTCAAAATCTATATCAAGGTTGACTTGAGTTAAGCTATCCGTATACCTAAACAAACGTATGTATTTCGATTAAAGTCGTATTTTATAGTTATGATTCTACCACATATGTTTTTTTTTATTTTGTCAAAAATCGATTTTATAGTATAGACGTTAACGACTTCCTCCTCTATGCCTTGCAGTAATGATTTTTCAGGCATTACGACCTTTAGCCTTAGAGACGTTGTAGTAAATACCTAAAATGAAATTGATAATCTTGTTTGAAAATCACTATCTTTATGGTTTAAATATAGATCCCACGGTCCCCGCCCCATACCAAGAGTCAAGCGAGCCAATAAAGCAATACGCTAAAAATAAAAAAATGAATAAATTAAAAGCAGATGTACCTTCATTCTGGCGAATTCCATTTGGAGGACTATATTCATTGAAACATTCGACTTGTAAACTATTATTTCCCTTCAATCGACATTTTCCTCCTTTTTCATGACAATCAAAACCGCAACCCAGAAATTCCCACGACAGTTTTGCAAAATTAGGAGTCAAAGGGTCGTAAAAATAACTAAAATTAGGAGTTGGTTCCAAGAGATATCGGTCGTAATAGTCCATATAAGATAAGGTAACATTTGCAATAAAGTGGCAAGAAAATAGAAGATCAAGACTCATGTAAGTTGAAGAAAAGGCAGCATAAACAAGATGATTGGAACTGCTGAGACAATCTATCAGGAATGTTTCTGGGTATGACCTTTGAATTCTTGACGAGCAGTTGAGCAGTACGTAATAGTCGAGCCAGTAATTCGTAAAAGGACTACCAGTGACGGTCAAGTTTTTAAGCCTTCTCGCCATGCAACCCTGGGGGTCTCCGATGTAAATTATCAGCATCTCGTAATCTATTACAGGCACGGAAAACTGCCCTGAATATGGAAATTCAATCAGTGTTTCGTTCCTCTCAGAGCAGGATAATTCAAATCCTGGGTAACCACAACTCTCTGGCTGTCGATCTTTAAGCCAAAAGGGAAAACGGACGGAAGGACCTCCTTCCCTGCAAGCTACATCTGGACATGATTTCTCAGCTTCTCCATGGCGTAAATATAAGAGAAAGATAATTAAATGAAAGGCTGTAACACTTTGTAAAGTCATTTTGTAGAGGGCAGAGCTGCTGAATACAAAGCAAGCATAAAAACTCTTCAAGCTTAGACTATATTAGTACCATCTAACAGCTCAAAGACCTCCCCGTGAGAAAAACGTTTCTCTGATTTTGACGTTATGAATAGCACCCTTTCACCAAAAAAGAAAGTCGCACGATGAGCGTGGATTGACCGACACCTCGCCCTTTCCAGGAGGATTCATCTCAATTCATATGAATCTTCATTGAAACACCTTCATTGACACAAAACACCAAGTCAATTATGTAATGTTACAATTGGCCAAAAAAGAGGTGAAAGAAAGGGATTACTGATTAGTGTTCGATAAAATAAATAAACAAAGGAGATCCTGATTCCTGCATGTACGAACTATTAAAAGTGGGTTCAGGACTCGCTTTGCTAGACTTCTCGCCATGCCAGTTCTTAACCTCCTAATTATAGCCTTGTTCTTCCTTCCAGTCTGCAATTCTAGGAAACAATCATCTTGTTCTTCTCTTTGTGGAAATTTATTAATACAATATCCATTTCGATTAAGAAATGATCCTGCAAATTGCGGACATTCCTTGTATGAACTTGCTTGTGAGCATGAGCGTCCCGTGTTAACAATAGATTACGGTAAATTTTATATCGAATCCATCTCATACGATAATGAGACCCTTCATGCCGTCGATCCTGGTCTAAAGACAAATGACTGCTCCTCCCTTCCCCGTTATGCCTGGACAGCAAGCAACCTTAGTCATGTCTCTGTGAACTATTACGACGACGATCGGCCATACTGGTTGTCCTTAAAAACAGAGGATACCATGATTTATCTTAATTGTTCAACCACACTGAATTCTCCTGAATATCTGGACGCATCTCCTTGCATAACCAATTCCTCCCTACCACAAGCTCACCATCTGTATGTTTTTCTTGGAGATCTGCAAGCAGCATCCCTATCCAGCTCTTGTGACTATTTCTTGATGACTCCGGCGGTGATTCAAACAACTGGGAATCTCACATATGCTGATATCCACAAGAAATTGACCATGGGATATGAGCTTTCATGGAGTCATTATTTTTTTTTAATTTGTGAATCAAATGGAGGATATTGTCCTTTCTCAGATGGTATTGGTGACTCCGAGCGCATCTGCTGCAGAGGACCATTGACGAGTGTTAATTGTGAGTAAGAATCCTTAAATAAAACATTGAAATAGTACGATAAACATCCGCCAAGGAGCCAATTTAGACACCAAATTTTCTTCCCATGCACCTTTTGTTTTATTATTCTTTTAACTTCACTTTTTATCATTTTTAGATATGAAATAATGATTTATCTGTTGCTGTTGCAGGTTTTGTACGTTATTTATGGATCGCGATACAGGGTAAGCCTCCAAATAACCTTTCCAATAATTCATCAACTATGTAAACTTGCATAAACATGATTGAAATAATGCTGGTCTGCGTTTTAAGACTCAATTTGAACAAATAAATGAATCCTGTGTTTCCATTGAAATTTAACATTATCACTTATTTCTTAGCATGACTCTAACCTGTCCCCACACGCCCTCGCCCCCTTCTCTGTCTTACAGGCTACATAGGACTCGTACTGAAAATTGTTGGTGAGTTTTTCATATAACATATTTCAGGCTAGATCATGACATTTTATATGGCTAACAAATCTGTTTTCTAGAAAGTGAAAGAACCTATTACCCTCTTGCACAGTTAAGGAGGAAAAAGGAGGAGATTGCACGAAATTTCTAAACTCCTCTGGGCAAGAAGGTCTTAATTAATCTTGACAAATACCAATGATAAACAGCATTTGGCAGATATCATGTATAGTAGTATTTCTTTTCAGTCTTAACTGTTTCTGAACTGGCATTTGCATTTGTTTTTTACCATATTGAAGGGTATTTCATTTTGATAAGAGCTGCCGTTGGAATCCTATGCATGTCTCTCTATCTAATTTATAAATGGAGGAAAAGAGCATCAATCGATGAATATGTTGAAGAGTTCTTGCGAAACTATGAGAACCTCAAACTCAAAAAATTTTCTTACTCTGACATCAAGAGGATGACTGGAGGCTTCAACGAACAACTGGGTCAAGGTGGCTTTGGCTCTGTATTTAAGGGAAAGCTATCAAATGGTTGTCTAGTTGCAGTAAAGGTGCTGGCAGAGGCCAAGGGCGATGGGCGAGATTTCATCAATGAATTGAGAACAATTGGGATAATCCGTCATGTCAACGTGGTACAACTTCTTGGATTCTGCTTTGAAGGATCTAAAAAGGTTCTCATATATGAATACATGGCCAATGGATCTCTTGACAAGTACCTGTTCTCTCGAGACGACGTCTGCACTTTAAGTTGGAGCAGAATGTATGAGATTGCCTTAGCCATAGCTCATGGGATTGAATATCTACACCGAGGTTGTCATATGAGGATTCTGCACCTTGATATTAAGCCTCACAACATTCTTCTTAATGAAGACTTTACTCCAAAAATTTCTGATTTTGGCCTTGCCAAGTTGTATCCAAGAAATGATAGTGTAGTTTCTCTGACAAATGCTAGAGGAACTATGGGATACATGGCTCCAGAATTGCTGTATAAAAATATTGGAGGCATCTCCTCTAAATCGGACGTTTACAGTTTTGGAATGTTGTTGATGGAAATAGCTGGGAGAAGAAAAAATCTCAATCCGTTCGTGGAGAATTTGAGCCAAATCTACTTCCCATCATGGATTTATGATCAACTAGAACAAAAGGGTGAAATGGAAATCGAGGATGCGACAGCTGAGGAAAAGGATATAGGCAACAGGATGATCATGATTGCTCTCTGGTGCATACAACTGAAGCCTGCAGATCGTCCTTCCATGACCAAAGTGGTGGAGATGCTTGAAAATACTTCAGAGCCACTGCAAATGCCTCCCAAGCCTTCTTTAGCTCCAGAAAGGAAACGTAGCTGAGGGTCTGCAAAAATCTTACAATAAGGAATCACTTTGATGAAAATGCTCTGTAATTTCATCTGTGTCCTTGCTTTTGTTCTTATGATGTATATCTGCAAGAATATATTTAAAGTTGAACAACCACCAATTAATTAAATTTATCACAATATGATCAAGTTCTAGAAAACAACAAGGTGCCAAAATGTCTTGAATATTAAGAATTACCAATGAACTGCATTAGTTTCATAATCGTTGTCAAAGAAAGAACACCTCTGGCAAAGCTCAGAGTGAAGAGTGTATGAAGCCTCAAACGACAGCGTATTGGGGAGCGGAAAAGCAACGTAAGAAATGAAGGTGCATACGTGGCGCGTCTTCTTCCGTCAAATCACGTCCTTCAACCAAAACTATCTCCTTCCCTTCTCCCCTGTTACTCGTCGGCGCCTTTTCTCATCAGCTCTTTGAATTTTGATCTTGATGTAGGTATAGTATAAATTCACTTACATACTATAAAGATCAAAACCCAAAGCTCTGTTTTTTTTTTCTCTCAATCTCTTGATGGCAGATGTTATTCGATTATCATCATCATTGTTAATTCATTCGCTTCGTTTCTCTTCTCCCTCACTGCTCACCTCCTTTGCCTCCACGTCGAATTCTCCTCAACCGTGTCTTTCAACCAATCAGAATCTAGATAAGATAATGTATCCTCTTTCCAATTCTTCTTCTTCTAGTGGTCTTGGTCGCCTTGCTTTTTCTCCCAGAGGGCAATCGCTCTCATTCAAGGTACAAAATTTTGGCCTTCTTTCTGATTTTGAATTTCTATTTTCAATTCATTAGGGAAAATTATGAATACCCATTTGCTAAAAGTGTTTCCTTGTGCCATTTTATTTGGTAATTATGATTTTTATTGTAGGATAAAGAGTTGTTTTGTAAACCCGTTATTGGAATTAGGCAGCTTTAGATTCCGTTTGAGCTAAATATGGGTATTTGATGCAAAGATTTGTACTTTCTGAAATATTCTTGTTTAAAAGTGAACTTTTGGTAATGACTTTTCTCTAATTTGCCGACCCTTTGGTAGTTCTGGTTGCCCATCATGACTATATGGAAATTTTATATTTTTAGTAACAGATATTCCATTTGTAAGGCTCTTCTCAGGGTTTCCTGTTGACGTTTTTTCTTGATTTAGAGGCAAGGTAACTATGTTGATTTTAGCTACTTAACATGAAAGCGGACAACCTTTAGCCTTCCTGCTGTATACCAGTTTGTAGCATGCATGCTTTAAATAACAGTTCTACTACTTGTAGCATTAGATACCAGGTTTATTCTATATATTTTTTCGGGTAACTGAGGTTTATTCTACATTACTTTGTTAGATGTTGGTGGTTTGGAGATTTGACACCCTCTCCTACTGTGCAAGATGCTTTTACTAACTGCCAACTTGTTTTTCTCTGGGAGCATAAGTTTTGTATTTTACTGATCTAAATAATCAAAATATATAGTTATTGGACCAAGCATCAATGGATATAGAAATTTAGAAGGTGAGTACATCACTTGTATTGAAATTCCATGCTGATATTTCTGAGTCTCGGTAGTTGCAATGTGATTCATCACATTCACATCTTTTCATAATGGGATGTTTCTTGCAGATGATAAATCACCTACTAGTTCTCAACCACGTCTCACAACACTTTTCTGACATTGCTTAATACTATTTGAGTAATATAAATTTGATTATTTTTCCTATTTATGGGACAATGCCATTAATCAAGTTCCTTCACTTCAGGTACATGCAACTGTTGACAAAACTGAACAACCAAAATGGTGGGAAAGGAATGCAGGACCAAATATGATTGATATTCATTCTACACAAGAATTTTTGAATGCCTTAAGTCAAGCAGGAGATAGATTAGTTATTGTAGAATTTTATGGAACTTGGTGTGCTTCCTGCAGAGCATTATTTCCAAAGGTAACTTATTTGTTGCTTTCATTTTTTAATGGTTTTATGATCAATTCAGGGTCAAGATTCATGATGGACAAAATTATGGTCTTCATAAAAGTTTTGGTTGCTATAATTGGTGATAAAGTTATGAATATTACCAAGTTAGGCAAAATGTTAAAAGGTATGATTATCCTGATTCACCCCTTCTAGGGCCTTAGGTTTTAATTGGGTACTGACTTATTGTTACTTTGTGTAATATAGTAGTACCTTCTTTAAAGTAACTAATAATATAATATTCTCATTTCATTCTGTATCTTTTCTTTCCATCTGGCAACTTTAAGGAAGAAGTGGTTACCAAAAAATCATGTTATTATTCATGTCTAGTAGGAGTCAGAATGCCTTCTTTGGAGTGGTGCCAGATGGGGCCTGAAAGATATTGGTTGACATAAAAAAAAATCGAAGAACTGTGCTAGATAGTAGTATTTGATTTACTTTTGTTGTAGGTTTGTGCAGAAGACATATCTTTAGGATATAATGAGTGCCTTGTCTATATACCCTTCCATGCTTATTGTGTTGCCCATTTGTAAACTTGTCATCGATGTTAAGATGGTTAGCTTGACACGGTTGCCTTCAGTTTGCTTGGGATGCCCCAGTGCCTCCTCTGGTAGAATACAGGGTGAGGGAAAAAACGTTTTCATAGAAGTAAAACTTATTTTGGTACAAAGACATGCATCATAAGGGCTACTTTCTTCTGATACTCTAAAACTATTCCTGAATTGTAACTATTTTCTCCTAATATTTCTTATAAACAATCTCTCAGCTCTGCAAGACCGCTGAAGAACATCCAGAAATTATATTCCTCAAAGTAAATTTTGATGAGAACAAACCTATGTGTAAAAGTTTGAATGTTAAGGTGCTTCCTTATTTCCACTTCTATCGAGGAGCAGATGGACAACTGGAGTCGTTTTCATGTTCACTTGCTAAGGTGAGCTGTTTCTGCTTGCTTTTTTCTGCTCTTGGTGTTTGACCTGAGAAATTATTTTCCCATTGATTGCTTGAAAATGGTCCAAATGAAGAATATGAAATTGCCATAAAATGGGTTCATGTTCGTTGAAATATTCACCATTTATTTGCTCTTGTTAGCATAGATAATGTTTCATACTTGCCCAACGTTCTTGTTTCAATGGTCAATTTTCTTACGCTACTGTGTCATTATGGAAAACATTCAATATCAAATACCAAATGCTTTTTCACTTTACTTAATCTGGATCTTTTCAAAATGGTCTCCAGTTTCAAAAAATAAAAGATGCCATTGAACTGCACAACACAGCTCGTTGCAGCATCGGTCCACCCAAGGGAGTTGGAGATCTTAATCTTGAATCTGTCTCTGCTCCAATTGACAAACCAACTGGATCAACTTAAACATGGGGTAAGCAATTGGTCTATAAATATGCATGCCAAGTGAACTCCTACGTAAGCCATTTAATATTTGTATACTGGGCAATCCATGTAAAAGAAAGTTAACAGAATTCATTATTTTGATGCATTCTTTGTCCCTGTAATGTAAGTTCAAAAGAAATGATATCTTCAGAACATTCTTGTTCCCATTTATATTTGTGAGATGTCTTTCATGAAGGCATGTCAGCAAGCAAACTTCAAACAGATCAGAAGCTCTCGATTTTTCTCAGGCAGCTCACACCGGAGCTCTTTTCTTGTTCAGCAGGTTGTTGGTAACTTTACGTGGGTACAGGTGTTTGCACATCCGTCGAACATTTATTTATCTCAAATGTAACAATTTACATGTACATGTAATATGTCAAATGTAGACAAGGCATTTCGTGTTGGGAAATTAACATTGAGAGAAAAAGTTTGAGATACATATTTACACAGGAAGTGGATCAGACCACCTTCTCTTTACCTCAGATTTCCATCGGACTTCCTTGAGCTTCCCATCTAAGCCATAATCACGCTCCATAACAAGGTTGATTCCCTCGTCTGAGTACCATCCGACTCCAATAGTAAGAATGCCATCCTTATCAACATCAACATAACCAGTCACACCACCAGGCAGCCAAAGAACAGTGGCATCTTGCATATCTAGCATCTCTTCCTCTCCGAAGTAGACTGAACTCTCAGGCAAGCTCCTCTTCTTTAAGGTTTCTGTGCAAAGGTACACATAAGGGGCACCATTGCTTTCTGCAGCTTCAATCTCGTCACCATATATTGGAGTGGCACTAACCTCAAACACCTTCCATGGCCCTGTAAGCTCTGATGGCTGGGTTCTTTTTCGTTGAGAAAACGGCTTCAAATCAAACTCCAGATCACTGTTCATTATTTACAACAATCAAAATCAGTTCCATGATGAACTTCCTATGCCGATAACCTCCCTAGGCATAAAGTCAGCATAAATCATTTTGACTTTTTAATGCTTGAATCTTGGAATTCAGAACATATATCAGATTAATTACACAGCAAACTAGAAACTGGACAAGAATGGAGTACAGGAATACCTTTGATCCTGAAGATTTGCAGGGCTCGCCCACTCTTCTTCGTAAACAGAAACTCTCATTATCTGTACATCTGAACCTCCATTACCAAATTCAATCGTGTGAACAATACGGAGCCTTTTGTGGCAACCTTTGACCAAACACTATACAACAAATCAAAGTGAATAACTTTCTTCTTTTTAGTAAATATCAGAAAAATAAATTACATCTTCAACCATCCAATTTTAATTAGAACACATTTCTCACATGTTTAAATACAAGTTATCCAGAAAATCTTGTAAAAAAAAATCATACAATCAGAGTTATATATACCATTACCTCAATAAATACAAGATAGAGACTCCTGAAAAGAGTCTACTGCAGCCTCGAATGATCTTTTCTAATTTACAAATGACATTTCTGCATCAATGTCATCAAAATGCATTTTGTACTAATTAGTTTGTTCCTCTGAGGTTTTCTGGTCTATTTTAACAAAGGGGAAAAAAGCATAGACTTTTCGTACATGAATGCATGCCTAAACAGCTCAAATTGACAATTGTCTAAAGAAAAATGGAAACTTTTGCAATCATAATTTGATAAAATAACTAAGGCTTTGTCCACTTGAATATATATCTGTACGTGTGTAAAAATCAATTACTTGCAAAAAAATATTTAGATGTCTGTTGATTAGTCTAAGTGACAGAAACAATTCATAATACCCTTGGCCTAAATCTTAATGCACAGAGTTGCTTGCCGATTATTGCCAGTAAAATTGAAGAGAAAGCAAAATTACAATATTTTGACCTGTTGCAAATCCTTAATAATAAAACTAACATGAGAAGCAAAACTTACTTGTTCAAACGTAAAAGTTGGAGAAAGGTAATACTTAGAATCATCAATGTCACCAACAGGAATATCAAGGGGTCCCCTAGAATAAGATCCATCCTGTCAGTTAACCAATTATAGACCATTAAGTAACAGATCTTAGTAATCCAGAAAAACATAGAGAAGAAAATAGTAACAATTATTTACATGAAATTTTCACATCAGCAACATCTTTCATTGGAAATTTTTATATACATCCTTTCTAGGAAAGTGGTAAAAAGTAGTCTAATCTCCTCAACAATCAGAGTTCTTAAGATAATGTCTACTTTTCTTCCTACTGATCTAGGAAAATGTGTTGCTAATGGATTTTATACAATAAGAGCATTTTATTCGAACTGATACCTTGCAAAGAGTACTGCAAGTCAAGCTACAAAAGGACTGAAAGTCTGTCATTTTCTTCATAGTAGGAGAATACTGTCATTTTATCCCTGATTTTATATAAACAATTCAATATCCATATAGCAATCTTAATTGATCATCATACCTCAAAGAATACAAGACCAGGTTCATTGCCCATGACATCTTCTTCCATAACATCACTAGTTGCCAAGTCAAAAGACTCAAAATTGGGCAAAACATGATTCACCATACTGTCATTGACTGTTTCTTTCACCAGTGGAACTTCACCATGGGGATTTAAAGTAACCCAATTTATCTTCCTATGGATTTCAGAAGTCTTTCCGGCAGGAGATAGAACTGCCTCAATGCGGGCAAATGTGTAGCAGTCATACAAGTTTTCATTCCTGTTTCCAATTTCAATTGGCTCCATTTCAGCAGTGATGGGTGAAAATACCGCTCCAACACCCTTCCATATCCCACTTACACTACTTGCAAACGTATTCCATGCTGGTTTTATCACAGGTTCCTGAAAGACGACATAACAATGAAAGAAACAAACAAACAAATCAAATAAAGCCATTCTCATTGAGCTAAGCTCTAAGAAACCATTTTTCCCTAAAAGGCTCTACAGTTTCTATATGGGAATCATGCATACATCAAATATTAAATTGAAACATCTTAAGGAAGCCAAAGAAAACTAAAAAGCTCTTGCAAGATGGAATTTGAAAGTCAGGTTGAAAAACTAACGAAAAATCAATGGAAAAAAAAAAAAAGAAAGGTACGGGCATCTAAAAGTTACTTTATATTTTAATAGCAAGCAAATTGGAAATTTGAAACCTCACCAGCAATTAAAATATCATGGCACCTCTTTGACCAATTTGTTTCTTGTTTCAGTTTATTGACAACAGCAAAGAGTGAAGAACTTCCAGCAAGAACCTCAAAAGAAGTACTGTTTGAAACACAAAATGATAATATAGAATCGAATACCGTAAAGCTACTCTTGTGAGGCAGTGTGTGATTCAAACTAGACATGCCAAATTTAGCTACACAACGTCTATATCTATAACTAACAGTAATTCAGAACAAAAACTCATCTGAAACTAACTCCATTTTCTGATTCAAGTCATGGACCGCTCAACATTCCAGAAATGGTAACAAGATATTCAGAAAAATATAAGCTCCATAAGTACACTGTTGAACTTCCCATATCAAAATTTATTAACATTTCTGATCATTGTTTCCAATTCGACACAAAAATTATAACATAAACAATATATCCCAAAAGCGTGAACAAATACATCAGTAAAACAAATGGAAGTATCTATTAAAGTACCTGAGTCTGGAGAACAGTCTCAACTTCCATCAACATAGCACCAGACACCAAAACTCTACCAATCTTGTTCTTCCTACCCCCAACCACTCTCTTCCCTTTCCCCCTCCTCCTCTGCTTGCTTCTTTCCCTCTCTTTCTCTTTCTGTGAAGATGCTTTCGCCATCTCATTGTCAATGCTCCAAACATTCTCTTTCTTCCCCTTCACTGTCGCCTTCCCTTTCGGGTTTGTCTTGTCGTGGCCATTGCTGGGTCTGTTCTGGCTCTGGGTTATGAGTCGTCTGTTAGCGCTCTTTGGTTTAGGTAATTTGGAAGTGATAGACAAGGAACAAGAGAAGGTTTGAGTATTGGGTTGGTGAAAGTGAAACCCTAGACAATAATTCTTGCAGAGGCGGAGACATGGTGATTGCATTTGTTTGGGAGTGGAGGTGGATAATTTCTACACAGGGATTCCGACCGAGAGAAGGAAGAAGCAGACAGAGATGTAGTTATAGGGCCTCTTGCATGAGCCCAATTCTTTAGAGACAATTCTGTAGCCCATTACTCATTTTCAGCTATGCCGAGGCCCATAGCAGTTTTAGGCCTCGAGGAAGTTTTGTTACAGATATTTTATAATCAGATTCGGTTAATAATTATAAAATATTTATTATTTAAATTTAATTATAAATTATAATTTTTAATATTAAATTTTAATTTTATACATATTTTTTATAAATTTTTTATAATTAATATAATATTTATTAAGATTCATTAATTACTTTAAATATAATTTTCAATTTTAATTCTTTTTTTTATAAATGAACCTTAATTTTTATTAATAATATATATATAAATTTATTTTAAATTTATTTTTTATTTAAAATTCTAATTTAGTGGAAGAAAACCGAAAGGTGCTTTCTGGGACAGACATACCATTCCATCCTCCATGGTAATGGGTTTCATTGTCACCTGAAAAGTGAGACACCTTTTCTCATGCTCCATACCTTTGGTTCTAAGCTTTTTCTCAGTTCAGGCCCTGTTCAAGAATTCCCCCTCTGGCTTCTTGAACATAGACCCCATTCCATGTGGTTCTGCTGCCTCTTTTTCCTCTTGTTATATTTAGTAGCCTTTCGCAATATTTAACCATGCTGTTACGAGTTAATATGTCACCAATTTATATTTTTAATTTAAAAAATATATTTATATCTATTAAATAAAAAATACTTATTTATATTAATATAAAATTTATAACATTTTATCTCATTTAATTATACAATATCTTTTATTATAATGACTCTTTTATTTTTAAAGATAAGGCGTTTATTTTTATTTTTGGTCACTTCGACGTTGGTATCTGTTATAAGAATTTCAAATAGATAGATAAATTTTAAATATTATTTATTATAAATTTATATTTTTAATTAACAAATTCATTTCATCTTTCATTTCATTGATATGATATCTGTAATGATTAATTATAAAAAAAATCTCCCAAACTGCCTAATCTCTTATTTGTTAGCTTAAACAGTTAACAGCCAACATGAATCATGGGGTATATCCATCAGACACAGGGTGATTATGACCCAACAAAGATCTTGACCGAAGAGAGGTTCCACGTTCGACTCGAGCAGGCAAGGAATAAAAATAAAGTTGTTAGCAGGCATAACATGACAGCCACATCCAAATTTGACTTAAATTTAGACTAAATCATAAGGTTTATGTTGGGCAATGTTCCCCCTTGGTGGATCTTTATGACCAAAATTTATTGTGCAAGTACCTATAACTTAATGAATTCTCACGCCATCTTTTGATAACCTAACCGAAAGAACAATTCAATCAAGATCCTTAATTAGTTAAGTTAATTCTAATTATGGTGACGAGATCCTATTCTCTTAATTTATTATATTATCCCTAATCTTATCGGAATTATTTATTCATTATTGTGTTACATCAAAGCAAGCCGAAGAAAAGACCAAGGTCAAAATTTTATTATTATAAAATATTAATTATTTTTTCATCAAAAACCTTGGGTTCTAATCTGGGATTTAATAATTTACACTTGGTGGTGCATACAATAAGAATTCATTGTTACCATAATTAAAAAAAATCCAAGATAATAAGTTTTTTTTTTTTTTGTGATTTAGTGTTGTTTGGTAATTAACTTTTCTTTCCAAATTGGAATCTTCGCTCAGTTTTTTACTTCTTTTGGGACTTGACTGAAAGCTGCTCACCAGCTTGATGGAATCAAGGTTTATTTATTTATTTATTTATTGCTTTAGAAGGTATTTGAATATATCTGCTTTGGTTGGCTTTTAGTTTATTGGTGAACGACCTTAATTTAACCTCTTGGCTTTTAGTATCTTGGCAGTGGTTTGCTTATAAGTAGATCAAATTAGATTATGCCATATCTTTCTATATAAACAATTAAATTAAAAGTAATATAAACATCAATGATAATTATCTTTAATTTATAAAAAAGTCAATATCATACTAATAAAAAAAAATTCTGAGATCGTTTTTCTTACCACATAAAGATCAAAGACTTAATTAATCAAAAATATTCCATAATTATAATATGGATCAGATTAATGTAAAGATTTTTGAAATGAATTTGATCATGAGATATTGTTTATTTTGAAGTTAAACTTTTACGGTTTTATCTTCTATGAAAAAATTATCTTTTACGATTTTCACTATAAATAATAAATTTAGAACCACCTATGAAATTCGAAAGCCTAATTAACAAAAAAAATCCAATGCAAACGATTTTAATGTAAAAGTTTTTAGAATACATCAAACTACGTAATATTATTTAATTAAGAATTAAATCATTACGATTTAGAAGACGTATCATTCAAAGGAAAGATATATAACGTATAATTTTTAAATATTAACCATATGGGATTTTTCCTCCTAACAATATGAGTTCCAAAACATTAAAATTCTTTGTGTGAAAGGCATGGCAAAGAACCCTACAAGGCTCTCTCTCTCTCTCTTCTTTTAGGCGAGCTTGGTCATAGTGAGCACGATTGTTTTGTCCACAAGCTTGTTGTCCAGCCAAAGGTCTCACCCATCATGGTAGCAATGCTTAGTTGGAAAGAAAGATTGATCCACTTTTGGATAGCCTTACCTAACAATACTCCCCTAAAAATCTTTTTCCCAAGCAAAGATGCCATTCCTTCTCTCCACTCAATTTGGTAACCTGTGCATATGCATTGGTCCTCACAAAGTCACATGCATTCCAAGCTAGTGAATTCATTGGTTATTGGTTAGGATGGTGGATGATGAACAGAAACATCCCTATCCATAAAATCTTTTCTTTATCCCTCTTCAAGCCACAATTATTTGAGATATTAATCGCTAGAAATTTTCTTTTGCAATCAAGAAAGTGTCAATGTATCTATCATGATTGTTTCATCCATGCATTTCACTCATAAAATCACTACTTTCATGTCTATATTAAGGTCAAGATAAGAGCATTAAAACTTAGTGCTAGTGCACGGAAAAATTAATATTTATCCTGTCAGTCCGTTCGTAAATATTTAACTTTTTTAATTTTTATAAAAATCATAATAAATATTTTGATTTTGATATATTTTATATTTTTAAATATAAAAAATAAATAAATAAAGGGATGAAAAGAATATTAATATTAGTACTTTAATGTTAGTGAAATTGAAAATTTTGGTTATTAAAATTATCAAAGGTCAAAGTATTTAAGTAGTATCTATATTCATATGTTTTCGTTAATTTAATTTTTATATTCAAAATTTGATTAATTTTGTTTTTTTTAAATTATAAAATACATGCCACGAAAGGTTTTCAATAATAAAAGAAAGAAAAGGTTTTCTAAAAAGCATGCTTTTATTTTTGGGTTTGCAAAAGGGAAAAGGATTTACATGCAAGTTTGAGACACACGTAAAGGAGCACAACTTTGTGGGGGGAGCCATGCGTGTGGACCATGACCCTAATTTGGAGGTATTTATCATAAGCAAAGGCAAAGTACACATGATGTTACTGTGATGGGGGGTGGGGGGGGTGAGAGGGGGGGGTGACCCGCGCGGAGGGGGGGTCTCCCACATAATTGAACTCTGCCCATCGTGCCTTTGGTCCATTTCCTCCCTAACATCCCACGTGACATTTCTCCTTTTTTCCTTAAGGTAATTTTGTCTTTTTACCCATATTTTAATCCTCATTTCATTTTTCATCTTATTCACATGACATTATCAAATGTATTGTCAATCACGTATTAAGCGATTTTGACAACGATTAAATTTTTATTAAAATTATAAATCTATTTAAAAATAAATAAAAATTAAAATTTCAATTAAAAATTTATCATAATTTATATATTTTACTATTTAAATTAATAATATTTTTATAAAATATTTATGTTTAGACCAAAAATTACACAATAAATATTTTTTTTATCAATTACACTGAGTATTTATAAACTTGAATATAATTATTTTCTTCTAAGTAACAATATTAGTAAAAATTTGAAAATAAGTTGTTTTAATACCAAAAATGCCCATGGGGGAAATACCGAAATGGCCCACCCGCGGTTTCCTTTCCCGCTAGAGGCAAAAATTTTTCTGTTAAAAAGCGCAACCGATGACCATCATTCCACGATTCTTTACCTCACCTTAAAAAGTGGGCAAAAAGATTAAAAGAAAACAAAATATATCAATAAAAATAAAAAATTAATTAATTAAACTAAAAGAGGGTGCGTTTACCTAATTAAATCCCCCCACCTTTTCGTAATCTCCGTTCCTCTTCTCTCTAAAAAATCACTCCTCTCCCCAAACAACCTCCCGAAGCGAAACAAACAGGCGCTAAAGAGAGAGAGAGAGAAAAGTAAGGGGAGAGAGAGCTTCGTGCTTGCAATGGAAACCGTCGCTTTTTAGATCTCGAAAACCCTAGCTTTTTTTCCTTTTATCATTTAAAGATTTTTTTTCTCTCTAGATTCTGTCTCATTTTTTTTTCTTTTCAAGAATCTAGTTAGCCACTGATCGGAGTTTTCAGTTACTCTGCTTTTCGAAGCATTGTTGGCTTACAAATTTTTTTTGGTGGCATAATTGATCCTTTTTACTGACGAAGAAATCAACATTCCGTGTTCTGTTTGATTCAGTCGTGGCCGGCTTTTTGATCCGGTTTCGTTCTGTTTTTTTACCTGCATTTTACGTTCTAGTTCATCGGGGACGGCCTCGCTGTTTGTCTCGGTAACTGTTTGGATGTGCTTCTCTCACATCCTTTATCGTTTCCTTCGGTTTAAGTAAAATTGGAACGCCTTTTCAGCTTTTTTTTAATTGGAGTTTTGTTTTCTGTCTTTTCTCATTGATTACAGTTGGAGAAGGTGTTTGTTAGGGTTTTTGGAGAAGAGAGACAGGAAGAGAATGGAAATGGTGAAGTCTGTGTAAAAGGGGAGAAGGAGATAGAAGAGGAGAGGTGACAATGGACGATAGAGGAGGTTCATTCGTCGCTGTTAGGAGGATTTCTCAAGGTCTCGAGCGAGGCAACACCTGCCATTCAACTTCTGGTAACAAAGCTCAAATTCAAATCCGTTTTTTGCTTTTTATTTTATTTTACTTTTTTAATATATATATATATATATAAATTATATATATTTTTCACTCTTAACACACAGTACAATTCCTTCACCTATCTACTTTATAGTCTGTAGAAATATTTTTATGACTCTTCTTTACTCTCTGAACCTACCTTCTCTCTGAAGGTAGAAGACGCTTTTGATTTTGATTTTTTTCTTTTTTTTTCTCTTTTTCTTTTTCGGTGAGTAAATTTCGGATCTGCAAATTTAAACTGTGAGGAGTAGTGAGCTTTGAGTGTTGCCAAAAACTATCGCTTACTTCATGTGTGCTGATGCTCAAATTTGTTTTGGTGAGTTGGTTGGTGTACTGATTCTCTTTGCTGCGATTTTCCTCTTTGAATCTTTGGAAATTTTGATTGTATTGATGAACCCAATTTTTCGTGGTTTTTCATGTTTTCTTTAAAATACTTCATATGCTAGAGATTTAAATTATATCTAATCACACATTTTATCTGACTTTTAGCACAGGCAAAGCTAGATTGGCGGGCATAATTGCATCGCTTGATGCTATTCTATTGTTTCAAAGCCTTTTGCGTGAAATTGAGAAATAGTCATTACTATAGAGAAAGTGATCTATAAAGTTTAAAGCCAATTAGGTGTGCTTTTCCTTTTTCATATATTAGAGTACTTTTGACGCTTAGGATTGAAAACTGCTTGCATTTCATTCTATTTAGGTTCTAAGATCTGCAAAATTTAAAATAATTTTCATGCAACTCTATTCTTCAAGTAGATCGTGATTCTCTTATATAGAAGCCATTCATTAGTACAGTTCAAGGCTGCAACATTCATGCTTGATGAAGTTGTCATAAATCAATTCTTAGCTCTTTTCATCATATGGCACTTTTTGTTCATGGTCCAAAACTTGCTTAAATTTCAGTTTTTAGCACTCCGAATCTGTGTCATTCTTGTAGAAGATAAGTTTGAGCCTCAGATAAATCATTTCATTTCATTTTTTATAAGTGCATCCCCTTTTTAAGTGATTTTACACCTGCTACTTCCAATGAAGATTTTACACCTTTCTCGGTGTGGTAGCAAACATTTTAGCTTTGCTTCACTATTCTAATCTTTTTTTGAGATGGTTGTCTGGTGTTTTTCTCCTTTTTGCTTTTTCACTCTTGTTTTTGTTTCTATTAGCAGCTGAAGTGAACCATCTTTTTGAATCTGTGGTTGTCTTAGATACTGTTACTTTTGAAATTGTAAAGCAGTGTAAATGAAGATTTAGTAACTGCATTTTCATTAGTAGAGTGTTTTATTTTGTTACAGCTGAGGTTGTGGCAGGATCAGCAGCATGGTTGGGGCGAGGTCTATCTTGTGTTTGTGCACAGAGAAGGGAGAGTGATGCTCGTCCATCATTTGATTTAACCCCTGCCCAGGTAATGTTTATGATCTCTACCCCTGTCAACCATGCTGGGTGCCTCATTGCTCTTTCAGCTTTTATTTGCCTATTTTATGTATACTTTATAACTCCCTATCCTCTTCAGAAATAGAAATCTGATGATAGGATTTCTCATTTGCTTCCCTAGTACCATGGTATGCCATTGATTGCTTTGACTGATGAGATCTCCCAAGTTGTTTAATGCTAACATCTGAGCCCAAATTTTGTGTTTAATCTTGACTTTTATCAGTTGTGCTTATATCCTATACTATAGACATTGTTATGTGGCCTGCCTCTCTGAAAGGGTGCTCAGGAGGGGTACTTTTCTACTTTGAAATACTGAGGAAATAAGTGATTTAAGTGGTTATTGAAAAATCACCTATGTATTTAGAGATTTTTAGCATCACTTTTCTTGCAACATGATTACTCAAATGGCTCTCCAAGCACTTGAATCTTAAGATTGTTTAGCAACATTATTGAAGTATGGAAAAATGGCGTGCTTCTGTATTGTTTTAGCTGTATGGGTTTATTTGCTTATGTATTATTGTCCTTCAATTTGCCCGTTTCTGCTAAGTTAGCATGATTTTCAAGTATTATGTTGATTGATTTCTTAGAAAATTCTGAATTTTACTCTGTAGTTTTACATTTGCTGGAACAAAAGATCAATCATTAAATCTTGGCATTTATGTTGTCAGGAGGACTGCTTGCAGAGGCTGCAAAACCGTATAGATATTGCCTATGATAGTTCAATCCCTGAGCATCAGGTACTAATTTTGACTGATGCTATCAATCCTTTGGATGCAATTTGAAATCTATAATCAGCAATCCTGCTTTATGAGAGATTTATTTTCTAATTCATTGTTGGTGCTTATTACAGAATGCATTAAGGGCCTTATGGAATGCTGCGTTTCCTGAAGAAGTACTTCGTGGTTTAATATCTGAACAGTGGAAGGAAATGGGGTGGCAAGGGAAGGATCCATCTACCGATTTTAGGTACTGTAGTTACTATTTCCCTTTTATTTCCATTCCACTTTGTCGCTTGTGCATTTTCTCTTTCGTTAAAGGATGGGTTTCTATCTGTGTGATACTTTTTAATATTTGGATTTATCTCACAGGGGTGGTGGTTTTATATCGTTGGAGAATTTGCTATTCTTTGCTAGGAGTTTCCCAGTACGTGCTTTTCTTATCTTGAATTGCTCGACAAAATGTCTTACTTTCCTTGGTTTTCTCCAGTATTTTGAAGGCTCTTTGTGTTTTTTTTTCTCAATATGATAGTTGAGAAAAGGGTACTTGGAATTGAATTGCTATGATGCATGCAATGAATAGATTGTTCCAATTTCAGAGTTAAAAAGAACAGTAGTTGTAAATGCAAAGGTGAAGCAATCACTTGAACTGATCAATGTTATGTAGAATGATGTGATAACAAAAACAGCCATTTCAAATGATCATTAATTATAGCTATCATGATTTCTGGGAAAATAATTCATTTGCATTTTGTTTATTTTAAAATCTATCTTTGCTGGTTTAATAACTTACCTCTATCCTAATCATCCTTTGTTCATCCATTGCTAAGGTGTTTATTAACATCTCAATGCAGAAATCCTTCCAGGATCTCCTTCGGAAGCAGGAAGGTGATCGGTCTGTGTGGGAATATCCATTTGCTGTAGCTGGTGTGAACATCACATTTATGCTCATTCAGATGCTTGATCTTGAAGCAGGTATGTATCGTTGGCAAGAGGTAATATGCTAGAATTCTTTTCTGATATCTTAGATTACTGTATCTGAAGGACAGATCTCTGCAAAATTTTTGCCTGTGGAGCAGTGAATTTGAGTCCTAGTCATGTGTGGATATGGCTCAATTTAAGCCATTCTCATTTCTAAGCCTTCGCATTAAGATTGCTATTTGATACTTTTCACCAGTTAACAGTGTGCTTCAATTCTACAGTCAAACCAAGGACAATGGTTGGAGCAACCTTCTTAAAGTTCCTCTCAGGTATTGCCAGTTTGCCAGTAATCCTTTTCGAGTCATTTAGTGAGGTTAGCTCTGCTAAAAACCATGCTCGTGCTGTTTGCATTTGATAGAAAACGAATCAGCGTTTGACCTTCTCTATTGCATCACATTCAAGCTAATGGACCATCAGTGGCTTGCTATGCGTGCATCCTACATGGACTTCAATGTATATATCCTTCAAACCAGAAATATTTCTTTTTGGGAGATGAAACCATGCTCTTACCTGGATCATTCTTTCTCTCTGGTATGTTTTTTCGTTTACAGACAGTGATGAAAGCCACACGTCGTCAACTGGAACGGGAGCTTTTACTGGAAGATATAACGCGGCTGGAGGATCTGCCTTCCTACAGTCTTCTTGCACGGTAGAATAGCTGTTCAAAAGACTTGAAAGCTATGAAAATTGGAAACGTGCTCTTTCCTTTTACCAGATGTCTTTCAAAGCTTAGCCTAGAAAAATGTACATGTGCTTATTTCAAACAAGTGGTATTGATGTTCCCATTTGATTTTTCAGAAACCCAAAAAAAAAAAGAAGGATTTAAGATTTTTCCCTAGACATGGGAAAGCAAGCTGAGTATCGAGAAGTGTCGAATCCAGTTTTGTCAGGTTGTGATGTCCAATGATTCAGTCTGATTTACTGCCTGCGCTTGCCTGGCATTCTTACCACGAAATCCTGCTATCAAATAATCCGACCTCATTTCCATCGAACTCTGTATTCGGCTGTCTGCTTTGCCAGGTCATATTATGCGAAAGCCATAGAAAGAAAGTGACTACCTCTAAAAGCCATTCTAAAGGGAGGATCAGTCATGTTCATCCTAATGCAATTCTTGATTTCCGGTGGATGAATTACACCATTTTTGTGATGCTGAAAAGTATGAATAAATCATGAGGTACGTTTCAAGAGTGCATTAAAATACTGGAATTCTACTCATACAAACCAATACCCAGATGCTACAAAGTTTCAGCACACGCTGCATAATAATACTGGCTTCCGACAAACATCTTAAACGCTACCATAACCTAAACAAAGTCCACTTAATACAAAAGTTCAGTAATATGGCAAAAAGGAAACGGGGGTATGAGCTGAAATGCCATGGCGGGCGACAGCTCAAGACCAAGAAATCTCTATTCGTAGATCCAGGGATGAAGGCTGCTCTCCCAGTTAACAGGGCATTCAGGGAACCACAAGGCAATTTCCTTCCTTGCACTCTCAACTGAATCACTTCCATGAATCACATTCCTGCAAAAAGCAGAGCCCAAACCAACACATATTCACGGGGTAAATAACGAAAACGGCAATGGTTCTAATAATTGAAAATAGAGAGAGGAGACAAGCTAATTATACCTGCCAATGTCAATTGCATAGTCACCGCGGATGGTTCCCGGAGCAGACTCAGCTGGGTTTGTGGCTCCAATAATCTTGCGACCGGTGGTAACAACATTCTTACCCTCCCAAACCATAGCGACAACAGGACCAGAGATGATGTACTCTACAAGTCCATTAAAGAAGGGCTTTGCAGACAGGTCGGCATAGTGCTTCTCAGCAAAGGCACGTTCCACATTGATGAGTTTCAATCCTAAATTAGATAATATCCAAAGTGAGATAAGCCACATTCCACTCAAAATCATATACTAATAATCCCAATAGATTTCGAAAACCAACAACATCCGTTTTGTCTGTTGAATTCAAGCATTACTGAAGTATTGAGAAAACACTCGATCATCCTTCAGGCACTTAGAAAACACAGAATCAATTCTAAAAACACTCAGAAACATCAGCAAATATGATAGATTTACCTTTCAAATAGAACCCTTTCTTCTCAAATCTGCCAATGATTTCACCAACCTGAAAGCCATAAGAATATCCTTGTGAACAAAATTTCTCAATCTCTACCATACTACATTGGAAAAAGGGAAAGCCTTTCACAGGCCCCAAATAAAGATATTCAAAAACTCATCTGATGGTCTTCGATTCTATTGCCTTAACATGCAAAAGATTGAAAGAAAACTAAAATCGATGTTCATATACTTTGTATATGAATCAAAGTTAAAACAGCCCATTATTTTCTTCTCAATCCCAATATTTTACCAGATCTAAGAACAACTTAACTAAAAAGTTCTTGCCCCTAAAAACAATTGAAAACCCAAAATTCTCCTTTGTTAATTAAGTAAATCAAACCATCGGAGACTTAAATAAAATAAGGCAAAAATGAAATTAGATAAGAGTGAAGCGGAAGCAATACCAGGCCTCTCTGGACCCCATCAGGCTTTATCATGATGAATGTTTGCTCCATCTTTCTCTTCCTTTCTGTCCCGGTGACTGTCGCCTCCTTGCTTCCGTTCAGTGTTTATGCGGAGAGAACAAGAAAGCAAAGGTCTTTATATAGATAATACGTAGAAGGCCCTAACCCTAGTTGCAAAGAGAGTATCCGATTCGTCTGACGTGGGGATATTTTTCAAGTTTTTATTTACCTTTTTCACCCTCCTTTTTCCCCTCTTTTTCATCTTTTTAACTGCAATCAACTAAGCTTAATGGAATATTCCGTCGCACATATTGGGAGTGTCGCATTAATTGATTTTAGTGTTTAAAAAAAAGCGAAAATTGAAGAAAAATTATGAATTGTGATTAACGACACTAAGCACAAATAAAATACGATTAACGGGTAGCATTATATTTATCTTTTTCTTATAATTACTCACGTAATAATTTGTCCGAATTAACTCAGTTGCTAAGAAAGAAAATTTCTAATTTATCAATTAGAACTCGATTCTCGTATAAAATACTTTGCAATAAATTTCTTAAATACGTAAAATCAAGTTGATATAAAAAAATGCACTCGTAAGATAATTTTGATTTTGTTTTTATATAAGGTAATTTGAGAATAAAATCTGCATGCATAAAATTAAATCAAAATAAGAATATGTCTTCAAAATAAATTAAATTTTTTTGTAAATTGAGAGTACGGAAATTTAATTTTATTTTTTAAATAAAAAAATCATGCATAAATCAAAGAACACAATTCTCGAGTGAAATAAGAGAAATGAGTACAGGTAAGCTCACGGAAACACTATAATGTCGAGTTGGCATATTGAATCCAACGAAAAAGATCACATTGACAAGTCAATTTGACAGAGAATTCTCTAGAAGGGCCAGAATTACGTGTAAGTCTTGAAATGTTAAGGACTTAAGGTGAGAGACATGTATAGATAAATAAAAGCAACTTAGAAAGATTTCATTCACCAAAGAGCTCATTACGAGCCTGTAAGAATGCATAACATAAGCTATGGCTGTGCAAACTTGGTCACTTTTAGTTAACTCAAGCTAAGCCATTATCAACAAAGAAGTCCATCCAGTATCAGATATGACTTCAATTTAGAGGTTCAACCTGTTCAATTGATTCAAGGAAGGACAAATTCAATCGTGCTTAGCTCAGAAAACTTTAGATGTAAGAAGTAATTCATCATAAAATAATCGATGCTGAAAAGGCTTCAAAATATTACTGAAAGAAAACAAGTGCACCAGTAACGCTTTTCATAACAGACTCGATGCATTTCGCCCAAAGTTCCAAAATCACTGTAATCACTCATACAACCACACACTAAGCTAAACGAGTTCAAAAAGAAAAGAGGGAAAAGGAGAGCAAAAGAAATGGTAGCTATAACAAAAGCAGACACACCCCTTGTGACACCTCTGTATGGCAGACGATTATCATTCTTTAAATAGGCTTGATCTTGAAGTGGAGCGAGATGAGAGAGAATACAAAGCACTTCAAGTCCTGCAATACATAAAATGCCAATAAGACCAGAGATAGATAAGCAGATGGCAGTGGAACCAATAAACATTGCAGAATGCTTTATGTTAGCAGAACAAGAGTTACTACACACACACACGCATGAGCACAAGGAATCAGTTAACTGCTGAAGACAACAATTATAAAGCTCTTCCACTTCCAGGCAGAAGTGTAGTCAGATTTCAAGCACGACCATGCAGAGGCATATAATGTTCTTTAATTTCTATTTGGATAATGAGGGTGGTAAGCATATCGATCATCACCCTTGACTCATCAGTCAAATTTGTTCCAATATGGATCCTAACTGCTTTTCTTAATTCAAAAATTCAACTATAGTCTTGTCTTTCAGCATTGCAATTTAAAAGCAAACACGAAACCAAAGTACCAAAGCATAAGCAAATAAAAATCAGTCAACAGTTACAAGTGACAATCAATAAAACCAAAATCATCTTTGTTTTCACATTACCATGTTGAAGAACATGATGCAGTAAACAAGAAAAGAAGAAACAGGAAATTAAACCACATCCCCACGCTCAATGATAAAAGACAAAAGCAAAATGAAGGAGAATAAGATAGCAGGTTGGCCATGTATATTAGCTGACCTGAACCAGATAATAAAATATGCGAAGCCCTTCGGGATCCTTACTGCTCTGAACATCAACAAGGGACCCAATCTTTGAAGTAGTGAAGGAGATATGCTCATTCCCCATCACAATCTCAAGCTCCTGTCGTCCAACACGGTCAGGCTCAGGCCAGTTGTTATCATCTTCTTTCATGATCTACATAAACCAACAGATATTAACAATATCAGAAACCATACAACCATTAAAACAGCAAATATAAACCCAACTGAGCATTAAAAGAACAAAAATTTACCATAAATCATAGAAATAATCTATCATCATCTAAGCACTACATCTAATTTAACCTATCAAAAGGACATAATGTGGTTAGATTTTCACCTATAGGTTACCAAACAGCTGTAAAATCTAGAACCAGAGGTGGAAAAGGAAGAACTTGAAAAGTTTAAAGTAGTAAAAGAACAAAAATTACAAAAATTTGACATCAACCCAAAATTGCAAACAAAAGGCGAAAACCCAATCCTAACTCCTTAATTATTAAAAAAATAATTCCACTTTCCCACCAGAAATAAGGTGACTAATTTCGCTAGCTGTTTCTGCAAAACCCTAGCCAAAGTTGAATAACAGAAGAAATTGCAAAAAAATTAAGGCAAAGGAAAGGTTTTAAAGAGAGACAGAGAGGACCTCGCTCTCGGAGATGATGCGGCGGCATTCCTTTAGAACGGCAGGGGTAAGGAAGACCTCTTTGCGGATCATGGTGTCGTTTTTGTAGTTGGAATTGTTGGCATATCGGAGCTTCCCGTCCGGCCTGAACTCGAACTCCAAAAACTCGTGCCCGAATTTCCCTTTATGCCCCACGTAGTAACGGAGGTAAAACTCTCCGCTGTCCTCCTCGGCCGCCATGTTTTCCCTCTGTCTCTCTCTCAGATTCACGACTCCTAGTAAAGGGTGAACGCAGTAACCATAAGGTCAATAAATAAAATTTTTAAAAAATAATAAAAACTTACAAGTAAATAATATATATATATATATATTTTAAATTTATTTATTTTAAGATAACAATGTAAGTAATTTTGAAATTTATTTAAAAATTATTTAAATTTTAATTTAATTTTATAAAAATATTATTTTTAATATTAAAATTATATTTAATTAATTAATATAATAAAAAATATTATTATTACTTATTACATTAACACACGTACATTTACGTTAAAATTTCAATTTAAAAAATTTTTACCAGATTCTCGACTAAACAGTAAATACAGAAACCAGACTCCTACCGAAGGGATTGTTTCTGGATCTGTTAATAGGTCCGTTTGTAAATCTATTGCCGACTTAGCCGGCCCACCCCAAAACTCAGTTCTTGGTCCTTTGCTGTTTTTGCTTTGGGCCAAGCTTATAGTCATTTTCTTACCTTAGAAGAGTTTTTTTTATTTAAATATAAATTAAAATACCAAAAATAAAATTTACAAATTGCACAAGTTCAACAAATCAATTAAAAATAAAACAACTTCTATTCATTGTCTTCCTTACAACTCAATTTGCCATTCTATTTCCTTTCCAATGGTGGATGCAGTCAAAAGAAAGTTAAATTAATTTCAATATATGGATATTTGAAATTAATGTTTTGGATCCTTATGGGAAGATATCATGTCTTTTTAAGGGTATGTTAAAAAAAACCTTAAAGATAAGATATTTTAAAAAATAACTCTCTTTATAATTTTAATTATTTTTAACTAAATTAATCAAAATTATTTTTAATAAAATTACACGTTATGTACAAAAATATGTTACACGTTATGGTTAGGTTGTTACACTTTATATACAAAAACATGTGACACACCATAGTTAAGTTGATACACATTATGTACAAAAACATGATACACACCATAGTTAAGTTGATACACATTATGTACAAAAATATGATACACACTATAGTTAAATTGTTATACGTCATGCAAAAAAAAATATTGTTATTACAAGTCAGGTACAAAAACATGTTACACGTTATGGTTAAAAAACATTATTACACACCATGTTAAAAAAATATTATTATTATACGTTATATTTAAATACATTTTGTTATACTTTATTACTTAAAATGATGTTGTTATTTATAAACTAAAACTTCAAATCTTCTCAACTCTCTTCATTTCTTTTTTTTTTGGGATAATTTGACACTTATTAAAGTGTCTTTAACATATTTTCATAAATTAAAACACAAATTTTCTTATCTAAAGCACCTATTTCGACTAAAAAAAAAAATTCTTTCAAAACATGGTTTATAAATTTCAAAATTTTGAGTTTATTGGATTAGGTTTCGAATTAATCCAACTAAAAGTTATTTTAAACATTTATGATTATTTCTACTGTTTTAGTTTTATCTAAAATATCTAAAATTTAAATTTTCCAAATAACCACCTACCAAGTATATCAAAACTATCACTTATTGTATTGAAAGTGTAGGAAAAGAAATCTGAAAATACGAGAAAGAGAAATCAAGAGTATAGCAGACGAATGTCAAAAAAAATTGATAAAATAAGAGAGAGTAGGATGGTAAGTGAGAAAAATTAAAAACACAAATGTAGAGAAATTATGATAAATAATTTAATTTATTTAAATAATTTTAAAAATATATTTATCAAGTTATAATTAAATATAATTAAAAATAATTAAATTTATTTTGATAATTATTTTTAAAATATTTTTATAAAAAAAGTTATTTTTTTAAATTTTTTATTGAATTTTATTAATCACTGTCTCGAGTTTAGGTGATGATTGACTAATAGAATAAAGACAACGTGTTACTCATCAGACAATGATGTCTTACCGAACCCTAAACTAATTAACTTGGTGCATCGAAAACATTAAATTATGGTTATGCTGTTGCTGTCAAGTCATGTCAACACTTCCTGTTATGCTCCACATTTTCTCTTTTAACTGAAATATGACTGGGTTCTTAGCTGTGACTTTGTTGGACCAGTTAATCTTCTGTTGAAACCTTGCAATTTGCTGCCAGGAGCATTCAATTCAGCCATATTTTAGTTCTTTGAAACGTTCATGTACGAGAGTTTAAAGCTTATCAGTACACGTTAGAAGTTATATTTTGTCAGTCTCGTATAATTGGATATTTCTCATAGTTCTGATAATGATGAATAATTAAAAATAAAACCCATTTTTAATCATAAATCAAGATAATTTATTTAGACATAAATCTATATCTCTGGGTACAGAAAGGGGAAAAAAATCACACAGAATATTGAGCAAAACGAAAGCAATAACAATATAGCACTGCCTCTCCCCTAGCTCATAACTGCAAGGACGGCTCCCAACACGAGCGAAAAGCCTAGAATCAAACCGCTATTATTCATGATGCTAGGTGCTCCGCTACGGCTAGGCGGTGGCGGGGGTGATGATGATGAGCCACTAGGTGAACCAGACGGAGGAGATGAGGTGGAGGGCGTGTTGCCACTGGCTGCTACGACGTCGATGGCTAGCTTCATGCCTCCCGCACAATGTCCCGCGGTGGGGCATATGAAATACATCGAGCCTGCGGTGGACAGAGTGATGACGGTGTTACCGTTGCTGTAGGATTTTAGAGAATTTCCGCTGTTGCAGTTGTCATAGTCACTTTTGGATACTTCGTCCACCTTGTGGCTGCCACCGTATGTAAACACTACAGAGAAATAAAAACAAAAAAAAAAGTCAATTTTCAATTATAATGTGTGAATTTAATTCGTTTCACATATCATTTTGTGGTGTTTTTTTAATTAAAAATTTTAATTTTTTTTATAAATTCAAAAATTTAGCAGCCTGATCTCGCACAGAAACGCAAATTATCCATACACATAATATTAATTGAAAAAAAAAATCCACAAAATGTTCTAAAGTATTTAGACTTTATCTTGCAAAAATTGAAATAGTAAATACCAAAGACACCGATAATAATTATTTCATATTTTTAAGAAATGATCATTCTTAAAAATGACTATTCCATAATACAAAAACGAAATTATATTTTTAATTAATTCAATTAAATTACTGAATGTGGTAAGTTACTACTTACGAAGAGTGTCTCCTACGTTGAACGTTTTCCCTTGAACCCAAGTTGTGTAATCACCACCAGTGGTCCAGCCGGCGCTGTCACCTACGGTGTATTGCACGGCGTAAGCTGCCGGAGTGGCCAGCAGAAGGAGGAGGAAAGCAGCCGCTAAAGCCATATGTTTCAAAAGCCTTTGCTTGGAGAAGGAAAGAAAAAAAAGAAAAGAGGAGGACGGCACAAGGGGCTTGTTAGCACGGTTGTATTGTTATATAGAGAAAGGTGATGTTAACATTTATAGAAGCAAAAGTCAAGCTCTCTTTCAGTTTTATTCTTACTTAAGACTATAATAATTGTTAGCTTAATATTCTTCTATCTTGTCCTTCACCAAATAAATTTGAATATATGCATAGACATATGGGGCTGCCTTCGCTCTTCTGACTTCAATCAAAAAGCTTATGGTAGGTTTGGCTCCCACCTTCTCCCTAGTTTTTTGTTTCTTTCGTTTTAAAATATATATTTTTTAATTTATATATATTATGTATTGAAATTAAAAGATTTTTTTATAACATAGATGTTCAATACTTTTTTAATATAAAAAGATAAAAAAATATGAAAATCAATCCGCAATATAAAAAAATTAAAATATTCAATGTCTAAATTTTTTTTATTTTGATACATTTCAAGAGAGAGATGAATAAAGAATATTGAACGAATTGAGTATAAATTAACAAGGTGACAGTTATTGAAAATTCACTCAATTGAAATTGACGAGTTTTTTATTTAAATTTCGATGGTTATGATAAATCTTAAACTTATTGTATTCTCCTTAATATTCAGCCAAGGCATTGCATTTCAAAATCTTTGGCTTATGTGATACAGAAGTAAACCCAAATCACCTCCATTCAATACTTTCAGAGAATCCAGTTGTATGAAATGAGACAGGGTTGAATTGATCCTGTTCTCTTCACCACATTTCCCATCATTACCTAACCCACTAGGCCAATACATCACCAACCTAATCAAGCCAAATCAATTCAAATAGAAACTACCCTGAAAAAAGAACTTTGGAGCAGAGATGTATAAGCCAAAGCTGAAAAGAGAATAATTTGAAACTTCGAAGGAACAATGACTTCTTTAGTGAACATATAAATTTATTCATAATTGCCTCCTAATGTGTCTCTAGATAGCCGGGGATTAGTTATCATGAACCCACCATCTCCCCCTATTCAAAAATATTAATAAAGTTTATGGGAGTATTAGTTAAGTACAGCATATGATCGTCACGGACTTTGACGATGAATGGTTAAGGAGTTGGTGGGGTTTGGTAAAACATTGCTTTTGTTTATTCACAAGAATCTGCTCTGGACTTTACGGTCTACTATTAACAATTTGGATGACTGGAAAACAAAGTTTAGGTGAAAATTTTTTTTTGATTGAAACGGAGTTAATCGAAAGATGATTAGATTCATTTGATTACTTAATTAATTCAAAAATAAATACAATTAAATCGATTAACTTGACCCGATCATTCGGTTTGCACACTTCTTGAAGTAACAATGGCTTCTTCACCTCGGGCAACTTCAAGATAAGCTACACCAATTCAACCTTGGCATGGAAGATATAAGGTCAATGTTGTGGCCTACCTTTGTAGAAACCCAATGTAGATAAATGCTCGGTCAAAGTTTCCATCCCCTTTCCGAGCCAAATTCTTCAACCCCTTTGCGTAACGAATCAGAATTTCGTGATGTACACATAATCCAGTTGGTGATGACTATCTTGGTCACCATGAACAGTAAGTGAAGGTTGAATATGAAATGATTAAATTTAGGGTAAAGATCTTAAGATTTAAATATTTTGTCCTTCTCGAAGCTTATTTCAGTAGTTAATTAGTTAATTCTGTGGGCAAAGAGTTGGTCCATCCTGCCATCCACGGCCTGACCCAAAGCAATTCAAACTATAAGCCTGCAGAGAATGAAATTGCAATTGGACCATAAGGAAATTTTAGGCCTCGACCGAGCACCAAGCAAGCCCCGATGCAACTGAAACTTACTGTTCTACCCAGTAAAGCTGGTTCGGTCTCCACTCTCCAGCTCTGCCTTGAAACATCCTCGTCAAATATTACACACCTCACAGTCTTTTTCTGTCGAACAGGTGTCAGTTGCATCGGATATTTTGACTGGCTGCAGGGGCGATTCAGATCCAAAGAACCCTGGACGGAATAATTCACAAACCTTTTTTGGGGGGAAATTGGGCTAGATGCAGATCTAGTGTCCAACAAATCCAGTTTCTGGGCCAATACTTGTGGGCGGTTTTAATCCTGTCGGCTTTGACATTGTCCAAAACCACTTCTGAATAACAGACGTCACCACGTAACTGTAAACTGTCACGAACGTTTGCAAACCTCTTTTCATGTAGTCGGATCAATGTTTCGAGTAAAAAACATTTGAAGAAGACCACACCATCCTTCTCTTTTCTAAGATATGACAAGAATTCCGTTTGTGCCATGATGTGAACCCGAGATTCCAAGCCTAGCCTACCAGACGAGAGAGACTCTGTTTTGCTCTACAAGCAAAAATTGACCTTCAAAGACCCTCGACTTGCTGCTCTTTGTTCTTTAGGCCAATTGTCCAATAGAGTAAGTTGCATCGAAACCGAGGGTCAGAAGAGTAATTCTATCTATCTCTGCAGTCAAACAAGAGTGGACGCAGCATACAAGTTCAATGTTAACCGCATCAGCAATATCATGCTAGCATAAGTTAAAAAGAAACACATATTCTAATCAAGGTTTGTTTTGTGCTGACTATTTCCCACATGAACCACCGTGGGGTGTCTCACGTCTGACTTTGAAAATATGGAAATATACTAAAAGGTTCACGCTTCATGCGATGTGTGAGAGAGTTACCCCAACTGTATAGCAACCTTGTTCCTGGTACCCGTTCAGGTTCAGCATCAAGGCGTTATGGTCCCATGTTCACCTTGACTTTTTGACACCATCAATCTTAAAGTCCTCTTGCTATCATCTGCACTTCTGTATTTATGAACAAAAAGGCTACTTACTACTTAAGATCACCGTTCCATATATTTTTCAATACATTGCAACTGTACACTGAAAACTAATGACATAGACGTGATCTTTAGGAAAAATTACCTTAAATTTTAGCATATAAATAGGAAGGGCAGGCTGCACCTATGATCATTCGCCATATACTAGCAAAGAATTTAAACATGGAAGGAGGAGGAGAGGGATGCTGCTCATATAAATTCTTTATATGGGGCTACCTCATGTGCCTCGCCGCTATGTTCTTCCTCCGTCACAACACCCAAACCCAGCTCTTGACCTCACCACCACCCTTCCCATTATAGACCTTTCCCCCTTACACCACGCTTCTCAAAGGTCTCTTACACTTGATAAGATACAAAGCAACTGTAAGGAACTTGGGTTCTTTCAGGTATTTTTCATGGTTTGCAAGTCCACATTACTATAACCCCAAGTAGTGAGACTAGTCAGTTTTCCATAATGTCCTGAATTTTAATTCAGCATAAAATATATAGGTGTCTCTTTGTGTTTATCCTAGGTTTAGCATTTCCAGTGGACAGCAGAGTATGTGTGTGGGTGTATGTGACTTTAAATTGAAAATCTTGCATATGCATTTACACTGTATATTCCGCTTGACAACCCAGATAACCAAAATGCAATATCTATACAGCAGGATGTTCACTCATTAAAAGCACAATTTTCATAAAATTACATATAGTAGCAAGATATGCATGCATGATTATATAATTTTATCCACGTAACAGCACTCATGTTTTTTCAGGTGGTAAATCATGGCATCCCTCTTTCCGTCATGAATGATGCCCTAGATGCTGCAACAGAGTTTTTCAACTTGCCTTGTGAGGAGACAATGCTTCTGTTGTCAGATAATGTGCATGACCCCGTAAGGTATGGCACCAGTTTGAATCATGCAAGCAATAAAGTTCACTTTAGGAGAGACTTCATCAAGCATTACTCCCATCCTATTTCAAACTGGATCCATCTATGGCCTCCAAATCCTCCAAGTTACAAGTAAGTAAGCTACTTTATGTTGTAAATTATTTAAAATAACCAGTTTCCCAACATCCTAAAGGCAAAATTGGAAACAACACAGTATGAGCAGTTTTGATTGGAACTTGATAACATAAGTTTTCAATGTTGCTAAAATTGGCATCTTCTTGGTATAAGAGCTGTTTATGACATCATGTTTTATAATGCATGCTTCACATCTTCCAGAAGGAAGAAAGAACAAAAGAGGAAATAAATAAGACAAATTATAGTTTCTCTTTTTGTCTTTTTTCTATTTGGTAGAGAACAACACATGATTTCCATTTTTTTTATGCCATTTCCAATCATGCTCAAATCTTGTGTGCATTGACTTTAAACTAATTTTCATCTTTTCTCTAAGGGATAAAATGCGAAAGTGTGCAAAGGCAGTACAAGAGGTACAAAAGCAACTAATGAAAGCCATCTTAGAAACCTTAGGATTAAAATTTGGCACCTTACATGAGGAAATTGAAGAAGGCTGTCAACTCATGGCCATCAATTACTACCCAGAATGTCCTGAACCAGACCTTACATTAGGTATGCCACCACACTCAGATTATGGCACACTAACCATCCTGCTCCAGAGTGTCCCAGGGCTACAGCTCAGGGACAACAACAAGAGTTGGCTCTCTGTTCCACTTGTTGAAGGTGCCTTAATAGTCCAATTGGGAGATCAAATCGAAGTGATGAGCAACGGACAGTGCAAAAGTGTTGTTCATCAAGTGGCACTTAGCGCAGAGAACAAGCGGCTTTCCATAGGGAGTCTTCGTAGTCCTCCTTTAAACAAGAAAATAGGACCAGTGCCAGAGCTTGTGGATGAAGAACACCCTGTCTCCTACAAAGAGTTCAGTTTTAGAGATTTTCTTGATTTTATCTCAAGCAACAACATTGCAGACAGAAGGTTCATCGATTCGATTAAGAAGACTGCATGAAAGGAACTGCAGCAGAGTGTTGTTTAACATCATATGCTACAAAAGCTTTTAGCTTTACACTCAATTAAATCTTCCATACAGGGATATCATCTGGTATTTCTATGCATATGGCTATGAGAATATAGTACAACAATAAACTAGCGCAGTGTTGTGTCCCCTCCCCTCTCAACATAAGTAGCTCTAGCCTCTAAAATTTGTGTTAAAGCAATAAAAGCATGTTCGAGTCTGTATTTACATTTGATTCAGCTGCCACATAAAAGCCAATATTACTCACAGCATTTACTATCCAGAATAGAATGAATTAATATGTCTACTGCATTTTATTCTGGTGTAACATTTCCTATCAACAAACAACTACTCTTACAGCAAGTACTCGACAAGATTTGCTCATTCATCTGAAAAATTGAGAAGCACAATCACAGAAAGTTTGGCATCATTCAATACCATTAAGCACCAGTTTCCCTCTCAAATTCTAAACGTTTGGTTACTAATAACATGAGTTCAACCTTAAGGCTTCTCAACAGAGCATGCAAAGATAAATGTACTTAATATTTTAAACATTTCCGGGATCTTGGAGACCATATCATGTCATTTCCATTTTGATTCATTTCACACCATTTCCAGTAAGCTTAGTTCAATAATCTATAGACTAATCTATAACTGGAACTCAACTGCCTCTCTCTAACTTGGTCCGCATATCTAGAACCTTATATTTCAGACAATGAAGATGCATTCTTTAATGAAGATACAAAAAGAAGAAAAAATAACCATTCTTCTGCATTTAAAGATGCATTTGACGGCCTTGAGTTTCAAACAATGAAGTTGCAGTGTCCTTGCCCCTTTTTGGTTACCATTACATCCCTTTGCGCTTAGATTTTCTTTAATGTCATGGCTTTCTTTCCTCAAATCAAAATAAAAGAAAAACTAGACAACAACCCAAAATCCAAAATCGAATGCAGCTCACTCAAATCAAAAGGCCCTCTTTCAATTTTCCAATTAGCCTTTTCAAAATCGATTTCACTTTTTTTTTTCTTTTCCAAAACCAGTTTCTCTTTCTGTTTTGTTTTGAAAATCGATGTCTCTTTTTCTTTTTCATTGCGTATAAAATGTCACATTAAGTTTAAAGATGGTAAATTTCCGTTAAGATAAAGAGTTTATTGAAATCAAACAATGCAGACAAATCACAATTTCCAAATAGTAACACCAAGTTTGCATGAGCAGAAAGCAATGGCCGAAAGATTTGTGCTACGTATCAAGATTTTGTCTTCAAAACAGAGCAGCAACTGTTTTTTGAATCCTGTAAAAAGATTCAATAGCAAACCTTGTAAACAAAGCAGGCCAGACTTGTTCATCGGAAGGGAAAGAAAAGCTAGAATTTGTTTGAACCGGAATGAAAGTTTTGCACTGATAAACTCTGGCAAATCAAAGAACAAGCTGAAGAAAAAATCAAAACAATGATCACAGAATTCATTTGGGAAATCACTGCAACGCCCGTGGGCTGGCATCATGCATGTTGTTAATGGCGATGGTCATTGATTGGTTAGAAGTGATGGCAAGAACTTACCTGGTGAATTATTGGTTGATCCATGCAAAGAGACCAGTACAAGTCAGAAACAAGGTGGCAGCACAAAAACAATGCAAACAAAATTTCTAAAATGGAAGATAAAAATGACCCAAATCTTCTCTCCTATTCAAGATACTGATGATGATGAAACAACATGAAAATGAAATCCATGTACATGTAGATTCTTCAAAGCAGTCACTCTGTAACGTTCATGGCGTACCTTGAGGCTTGAGGCTTGAGGCTTCAATTCTGCTAAAAGTGCCTAGCCTGCAGCTACGTGGACTTGCGTATTTATATTGCACACGTTTTTTTTACTTAGATTTTTCATTCTGGGGGGAAGGAATTGTTTGCTAAGCGATGCAAATCAACTTTTCCTTGTTAGTACGTCAGGAGTAAAAACAAAACAGAGGATGAGCTTCTTAGTTGTTAAGGTAGTGTTCCGTATGATGTGAAGCATTCAATGTACAACAGAACATTGAAAACTCAAATTCGGACAGCTTTGATTACAGCTAACGAAGATGTTGGTCTGCCCATTTGCATTTTGTGATCAAACCCAGAAGGGGAAAAAAACAGGGATCAAATGGCTCATCACACAGGAGCAGAGGAAAAAATTTAAGCAAGCTTTTCAGCTTCGTATTAATGGATGGCACATGGAAGATGATGCGTCTGCCCTCCGGTTTTATGTCCCACTTGTTGTTGTAGATTCTCTGGCAAGTTGGAAACCTTGGTGACATAGATCGAAACAGAGGAAACTCTGTAGTTCAGTTTTGGAGGGTTCCTCCATCGATGACCTCACTTTTCATGTCGCAAATTTAATTACGTACAAACAGTACTATAGTAGCTAAAAGATGTAGACAGATGACTAGGGGGCTGATGAGCAACAAGTCAAGAAGTGATTTGAAATTTGAACGCGGTAAGTGCAATTAATTGCCGACCTTGCCGAAAAAAAGCAAGCAGACCGGACTTGTTTAGGGGAAGGTAAAGGGGAATGACCCAATCTCGTATGGAAATTTGTGAGAATACTTATTAATAGCGGCTCAATTATTCAACAAAATTTAAATAAGATATTATTTTTTTTATAAGTTGTATCAAAATTTTATATTTTTATTTTCAATTAAATAAATTTTATATTTAATAATTAATTATTATTTATTAAAATATTATTTATTATTTTATATAATATGAGATTAATGTAACATATTAACATATTATAATAAATGATAATACAACATAATAATATGATCATATAATATTTTCACTTTTACATTAATATCAAGTGAATATTATGTTAATGCTATATGAGTATACAATGACAATTATTAGTTATAAGACTTGTTTGATCTAAAGTAAAAATAGTGATTTGATTAAATAAAATAAAAAATAAAATTTTATTTGAAATTCTTGCATAATTGAGAGGTTTTTTCAAATATCATGTCATGATTAAAACTTTTTTAATCAAGTAAAATAATAACATCCAAATTGAGTGAAAATATTTATAGTTGGTATCAAAATACTCATTAAGTGGAAGCAAAGTGTCAGTAAGAATAAAAGAAAAAATATTAAATTTATTTATTAACAAAATGATAATATTTAATTTATTGATAATGTATAAAAAAATTTATACACTAATAATAGATCTTGAATGACAATTATTGAAATAAAACAATGCTGATAAAATATAAACTAAAATAATCAAACTTTCCAAATAATGAGATCATCAATTTTAAATAGCAAAGAGGGTTTCGGGTTCTTTGTAGGAATGATCCACAGGCCCAAAAACGTATGGGGCCTTAATCAAAGTGGACCAGATCCATTACCCAAAAGTTTTAAAATGCTTTGAGCCGAAAAGTCGGGGGCCCATTTAGTTGACCCGAGAAATTCTTTTTATTTTGGGTTAAATCCCGAGAAAGTCATTTAAAACGAAATGAATTGGTGTGTATCTCTGTGACTCAGGCTCTCTTGCGTGTCATTTCAGCCTCTGCTTTTTTTCTATTTCTCCTCGTGGCCTCCTTCATCTTTTCTCCGCTGACTTTTTTCGGCGAAATCGGTGCGAGATCTTGGTGATATATCGCCGGAAATTTCATTTCGGTTCCGGCGACCTAATCCTACGATCCCGTTTTTATCTTTTGGTTACCATGAATCCTGAATAGTAACTCTCTCTGTCTCTGTCTACATTCGTATTTAATATGTTTTAATTTGTATCTGTTGTTGTTTAGATTAAGCCTTTTTTTAAAAAAATTTGTTTTTCCTTTCTTTTCCTAATTTGGTACGTTATTTCTTATTCGTCGCTTTGATAGCGTTGGAATTACATGAATTTTATGTGTGACGATAATCGTGGTTGTTAAAGTTAACCCTAGAATCATGAGATTTTGTTCAGATCTGTTGATGGAATTGATATGTGTTTTTTCTTCTGTTTTTGTTTCCATTTTTGTCATATTTACAACTGGGGATTTGTTTATTTTTTAGAAATTATTCTTAAAAAAAAAGGGAATTTGGTGAGAGCTTTGATTTGTTCTTTATTATTATCTATGTCAGTTAAAATCATTATTGAAAAGTATGTTAATTATCTGATTGCACTCGTTTACAGTGACTATCTGTTCAAGCTTCTGCTTATTGGAGATTCTGGCGTTGGAAAATCTTGTCTTCTTTTGAGATTTGCTGTAAGTTTCTAGAGTTCTTTTGAAATTGGAATTTAAAAGTAAACGTATTTATTTTTTAGAATCTATGATGTGAATGTTTTTATTCATGTTTGATTTTTAGTGGGTATGTTGCCATTGTAATGATCATTGATTAAAAAGCTTTATTGTGTATACTGTGTATGAATGAGTAAAATTTGTGCTTTACTTGGTGAAATGTTTTTATTGTTTGGACAAAAGGACAGTTTTGGCATCGGAATCTTCTCGCTGTTTTTAGTTGTATATTTGGATGGCTTTGCACGGCTAATTCTTGAACCTGATCATTATGTGAACTTTTATTTTTTAATGCAGGATGATTCATACATAGAAAGTTACATAAGCACCATTGGGGTTGATTTTGTGAGTAGACGGTCCTTAGTGCCAACTGGACTTTTAAATGCCAATATTTATAGCAATTATTCTAATTTTGTCTCTTTTCTTTTGGTAGAAAATACGTACTGTGGAGCAAGATGGGAAGACCATTAAACTTCAAATTGTATGTTTTTCCTTTCTGTACAGATTTTTTTTTTAATTTAATTCATTTCCTTGACTATTTTTTATTGTAGGTCCTTTGAGGTAGTATGCCTCTATTGGGAGAACGGGCTGTCTGCTCACGTTCTTCTTCAGCTGCTACTGTTTCCTTTTGTATATTTTGATTTTATTAATATAGTCATACTAAGTTGCTCGTAAACCTTGAAACTTGCATTTTATTATTTTAGCTTCTTAATGGTTTCTTGATCATTAACTAGTTAGTTTGCTCTTGCTATAATGTACAGTGGGACACTGCTGGACAAGAACGATTTAGGACAATCACTAGCAGCTACTATCGTGGGGCTCATGGCATAATTGTGGGTGATCTTTTCCTTTTGCTTCCTTTTTTCGTGGTTTCAATCCTTATTTATATTTTTCATAATTTTTTATTTCTTTTACTTTTCCCTTTTACTGGTGGCTCCTCTATTAGATCGTTTATGATGTGACAGACCAAGAAAGCTTCAATAATGTCAAGCAGTGGCTGAATGAAATTGATCGCTATGCTAGTGATAATGTTAACAAACTACTGGTTGGAAACAAGTGTGATCTTACTGCAAATAAAGTTGTGTCATCTGAGACTGCTAAGGTATTGCTAGTTTGGCATGTAAAGCATAGATTAATTTCTTTTGGGGAAACCCTTTATAGCAGGTTATTGCTGTGAAGAGCTGTAAGATAATCAAATTTACTGTTGGTGTGATATTTCATTCCTTGCCCTATCCCTTTCTACATATAGCTGTTTTTCTTCTTTCAGGCATTTGCAGATGAAGTTGGCATACCTTTTATGGAAACCAGTGCAAAAGATGCCACAAACGTGGAACAGGCTTTCATGGCCATGGCTGCTTCCATCAAGGATAGGTACCCGTATTCATTTTCATAAATAGTTTTAGTAGTTTCAAGTGCAAAGATAAGTGATTGCAGTTCTAGAAGTCTGTACGGTTGAATGGTATCTCCTGGCTGTTTGGGTTTATATGTCAATCTGAACCAACAACTACTAAATCAACAATTTTGCTGTGATGTAATTTACCTCACGAATGCTCAAATTCTGGTTTCCATTGATTGTCAATTACTTTTGCATGTTTCACTCACTTCTTAAATTTCCTCTGAATGCAGAATGGCAAGCCAACCAGCCATGAACAATGCGAAGCCTGCAACGGTACAGATCCGAGGACAGCCTGTTGCACAAAAGAGTGGCTGCTGTTCTTCCTAGAAGTCTGTGGCGTGTTAGGATGTTCTATTTCTTCTGCAGTATGCTGCCTCTCATGGCATGTAAGATTTACGTGTTTCTTAACTCTTTTCAGTTGAAAACTTATTCCTTCTGGACCAACCTCATTAGAGGATCTCATTCATTTCTACACTTGCTAATGTGAAGGGTTATACAATGTATGATTATTGATTAAATAATAGTGTTCTTCCTGCTGTCATGGATTCTTTAACCGTGCATGCCACTGTATGTCTTTTAAGTGCATTCTGAATTAGAACTCTTCATCTTAACCAACCACCTTCAGCTTCCTGCAGTTAACCATTGGAACTCAGATTGACCCCAAAACTCATTAGAGGCCCAGTGTCATCTCGTATGGTATCTAAAGCCATTTTTAGGTTCATCCATCCCCGATGGCCAATGGTAGTAGTGTATCTAGCCCTCATCCCTACTTGGTGCCAGTGGATTCTGGAGGCAACCATTTCTGAGTTCTGATACTTGCTAGTAGCATTTGGATAATGCATCAATGATCTAGCTGATCTCACTGACCCCCTCGACACAATTGTGATTTAGTAATTAAAGTAGAATAATTGGTACCCGATGTGCTGTGAAGATGTATGCTAATCTGAAGCCAGCCTTAGCTAGTGATTTCTGAAACCTTTTAGCCTTTTGTTTTATTCTTAAGATTCTTCTATGTCCGCCAGAGGCCAAACTCCGTAGAGGTCGGCTGTTTTACAGCCTTTTGTTCTGCATTTTTGGTCACGACACTGCCAACTCATTCAATTAGCAAAGCCTCGGCTTTTGCGGAATCCAACATTAACTGGAGTACAAAATTATCCGAGTAATCTCAAGTTACTGAACGTTTGTTCAAGGGTGAAGCCATTGTCTGTCAGAGAGCTAATTTATTCCTTTAAAACAAACAAAAAAGCAAGAGTTATTCCTTTCACACGAATGGCGTCTGTCGGTGGACTAGAATCCAAAGGCTCATCAATTCCAACCGTACCATGACACGCTGTTCAATTTTCTGAGCATTGCCTCAATTTTATTTTTCAGTAAAGAAGGAAGGGACAAAAATAAACCTTTTTCAGTTCGGACTTTTCTAGCATAGCCATTTATAATATACATAATAGTTAAAGAAAAAAAGATTTACCATAATTACCATAATAAATCAACCTCATCGAAGGCAATTTTCTTGAGTTTTCTAAAGATATGTTTCATATTAGTTAACAAAGAGATTCTGACTAAATCTGATCAAGAAAGCCTGTCACTTGATGGATACAAGACAACCACGGCAGATGAACAGATTTTCAAGTAGAAGGGGGCACTTTTCTTGGGTTTTCTCCAGATATGGTTCATATTAGTTAGCACAGACATTCTAACTAAATCTGATCAAGAGAGCCTATTGCTTGATGGATCCAAGACAACCATGGCAGATGAAAAGATTTTCAAGTGGAAGTGTTCATGAGAAACGGTATATTGGGAGTTTCATTGGAATTGCTATTCATCTTGATTAAAGGGAACAATAGGAGCAAACACAACTAGCCTGGTGTCATCATTTTGGAAGAGTGAGAAAAGAAAGTAGGAAAATAGTTCCATCTATTCCAAAACAAAACTGAGCAACAATGGTTTTCTAGTCATAGGTAAAATGGTTTTAACATGGCTCCAATTTGTTGGGACAGTAAGATCAAAGCAGCATAACAATAGGCGGCACTACAAGAAAACTGAAATATACATTTTAAAACATAAAATTCAGGAGATCCTTTGGCAACAGGAAACCCAGATTATTTGAGTCCATTTCCTGCCCAAAATTTAAAGAACCCAAAAATCCAAAAAAAAAAAAAAAAAGCCAGCGAGATTGTAAGCGGGGTGGTTCTATAGAAATCTCAATTGCCCCCCAAAGTTGGAAACTGCCCAGGGTCTTCAATGGAAGGTGCTGGCACATTACCGGCTGCACTGCCTCCACCAAACCCTCTTGGACCCCGTCCACGGCCACGTCCGCGTCCACTTGGGTTGTAGTACCTCTCCCCTTCAGCAGGCTTCAGAAATTCATTAATGCTGACAGACTACCATCACCACAAGTATGAATAAGGATCAGTACATGCCCAAAAAGACACTAAAAAGTGAAAGGAGCAATGTGCACACTTGACAAACACATTTAAATTGATATTCATGCCTCAAGGCCATGGAAGAGAACCGATTACAGATAAAATTTAATGCCAGGGAAGAGAAAGGCATTACAGATAAAATATAAAACACAGCACAATTGATGTCCAAAATGGATATTGGTCCATTGTAACTTCCATAGAGGCTCAGGGAAACTGCAAAACAGGTAAGTTATAACTCAGATAAAATAAAAGGATATAACAATACCTTTTTTGCTCTCTCTTCCTTGTCAAAAGCCTCTTTTCTCTTATCCTTCTCGAAACCCTGGATAAGGCAATTATGGGGAACAAATGATTAATAAATATGTGCCAACTAATAAGAAAAATCATTAATGATAGACTTCCCAAAGTGTTAAATAGGTCTTACCAATTTGATGAAGACCTCATCATTGCACTTCTTATTTGAAAGCTGCTGCATAGATGCAAACTCCTTGGCATCTACTTTTCTTTCCTCAGTCTTGAGAGCCTGAAGAGCCTTCCTCTTCTCTTCCAGTACCTTCTCATACTCCTCAAGAGTCATCTCCTATAAAAAATAACAATATCAGAGGTTGCACATGGTAATAGCCATGGTTAATAGCTTAAATTTACAACCGGCGAAGGTTGCAGACATTAATAACCATCTTAAATGATAAATTGTCAGGTAAATCTACCTTATCCTCAGGTTCTTTTTCTTCAGGTTCATTGGTAGGGCTCTCCTTGGAAGCATCTCCTGCATCCTCTTCTCCTGCTGGCTTTTCATCACCTAAATTCTTCTCACTTTCATTGACAACTTCTTCAGTCACCCTGAACAAGGCAAAAACAATATTTTATTAAATTTGATAACTACAATGAGGAAAGAAGAACAAACCTACATAATGATTTTATAATATTATTGAAAGGTTGGGATTGCAACCGCTAAATATAACTCACTGAGTAAGTTCATCAGTCTGAGTTCCCCAATTCCCACGACCAGAGCCTTCACGTTTGAGCTCATTTCTACAGACAGGAACAGCAAACAAAAAGCATCAGTTTCAAGACTTAATTACAACACCGCAATGCAGAGCACACCAAGCTAAGTCAAACAAAACTTTACCCGCGTCCAGTCCCACTATGGCGCTCATACATCCTGCGAGGTCGCTCCCCCTGTCCAACTTCCCCATTACTGAAACCACCGCGGCGACCACCACGGTAAGGACGAGGGCCACCATAGGTACGCCTTTCAGAGGGCTTTCCACTCTCTCCCTCTTCAGGAGCACCTTGACCAGCAGATACAGCACTGTTGCTTAATGAGGTCTCATCATTGGCAGAATCACGTCTGTATCCACCACTACCACCACGCCCACGTCCAAATCCACGCCCACCACGGCCGCCACCACGGGGACCTTCACTCTTTGCCTCCCTCACTTAAAATAAATAAATAAATAAATGCTCAGCCATCAGTGATTAGCCCAAAAAAGCTTAATAGCAGCAGTTAGAGCACAGTTCCAGAAACAGAACACATAAAATCCTCAAAAAACAGAACTTTCGCACTTGACATGATTCATACTGACTATTATATATAAATGCATGTCGAATAACCTAGATAGTAACATCAAAGATGTAATAAAAGCTACCAGCAGATGCCTACTTTATATAATAAAAGACACAGCAATAAACCAATATACTTTCCAAATATTTTGCTCTGTTCACTCTCAGAATTAATTGAATAAATATAAGATACTCCAGATAGTTACATTCCAACAAGATCTCCTCGCACAAACTCAAAAATAGAATACAACTCACATACCCAATAAACAACTGACATACAAATACTCTGACACGTGAACGACATATGCACATGCGTGAATGTTTAACATCTGTACCAGAAAGAATCAACAAATAAACAAAGAATCAAACTCCAACACTCTCTGTACCAGAAACGAAACCGAAACATAGTAACATAAACCCACTCTAAACCCCACACCATTAAAAAAGATATCTTTAACTTAAAACAACCCATTAAACTAAAGACTCAACAGAAAAAAGATTGATTTTCTCTTTTTTACAAAAAACAGAATAATTTCTGCGAAATAAAGCAAACAATACAAAAACCTCAAAATGACTACTAATTTTTATTTTGAGTAAAAGAAGCTTACCAGCCTGAGCAGGAGGGAGAGGCTTGGAAGGAAGCTTAGCCGCTTTAGCCTGAGTTGCAGGCTGCTGCTGCTTACCCTGAGACTGAGCCGGCCCCTTTTTAGGGGAGGCGGCGGAAGCAGTGTTGGTGGCGGCTGCGACAGCCTTTTGCTGAGCAGCGATCAGCAATGATAGTTCCCCAGTATCATCATCTCCCAACAAATCAAAAGGGTTCATGGTCGCCATTTCTTCCAAAATAAAATATCACCCAAATTAACCCTCCTCTCCAAAACCCTTGTTTTCTCCCTTGTTCTTTCTAAGCTCACCCAAAAAGAGGCGACCCACAGAAGAACCCTACTCCAGCAAAACATCCATCGAGATTTTCTTTATTCAAGTAATTAAATGAATCTCGGAATAAATAGATCTGTAAGAAAGTAGTGAAGTAAGCAAAAGAAGAAAAAAAGGAAAGTTACAAGAGATGGAAAGAGTGTATATAGAGAGAAAAAAACCCTAGCCGCAAAGACAAGTGCAGCGAGGACGGAGAGAGAGAGTGAAACCTAATCTGAATTGTGACTCATTGCCCCTTTCTTGTACGAAGCTCGTGTGGGGGTGGTCTTGGGTCTCTAAATTATTATTAAACAATTTGGGGGATTTTCTTTTTTATTTTATTTTGGGTGTACGGGTACTGTGAGAGTGAGAGAGAGAGAGAGAGAGATTTAGGTTTGCATTTTGGGGCTAAGCTTTCGCGAGAATTACGGATATGCCATGCTGGGAAAGGAAAGGGCTTTTGGCTTTATATTGGGAGGATGTCTCCCTCCGATGTGAGTATGATATGCTCTGCTTGGAGGATAGATTTGTGTGCCACGTGTCAAGTTATCATCCGTTGACGGGTGATATTACAGAAAAATTTTAATTTCATCTACCGTGGTAGAGACAGAAGCATTTTTCAGCCGCCTCCACCGACCCTACCCCACTCCACTCCACTCCACGCCACATCAAACAAAGACATGGGTAAAATCAAAGGGAGGGGATTATGGGCTAAAGGGCTACACTCTGGAAATAATAGAAATTGAATCCGAAAAATACAATAAAAAGACGTGTTGAGATTAAAATTAAATAAGAAAAATTAACCATAGACCATATATGAAGCCAAGTTGAGGCGTTATTAGATATCTTATCATTTCATGATTTTAATGAAATGTAGTTCTTGCAAAAGTGATTGCTTTCAAAAAAGAAAATTTACAATCAAAACCTTAAAAAGAGAAGGTGATTTTCCAACGGGACCACACGTTTTGGACATGGGGGCTTCACTCCCATTCAGATCCCTCTGGTTGGATTCTTTTGGGAGTTCAAAACAAGAGTAATCAAACTTGGTGAAGAATGAAAGATTCACTTGTATATTTGGCTTTGCATCATTTTAATCAGATTGGTACGTTTTGAAACAACATAATACCAGCAGTTTATCAAAACGGGTGAAATATGACATTCGGAAGCAATGAAACAGAAAATGAAGTCCTACCTGAAGTTGGCCCATTCATCAGACAGAACTATTCCATGGCAGCAACAGCAGCAGGAAGAGGAAGAGTTAGGAAGGGAAAATGAGTACAAAAAATTCATGACCTGGACTTGGCAAACCCTTCTTTTTTCTTTTTTTTTTTCCTGGAATAAGAAGACTGAAGTGGATTGCCTTTTTTTAATTATTTTTTATTTGTAAATTGCATAAATAGCATATAATTACATAAAATTACAAGCTTTGCCTATTTTTCTATACAACGCAACATCACAAATATTAAATCCGCAATAATTTTCCTCTTTTTACCCACCTGATGTTTAATGAATGTGGAAAGTATTTCGGCTGTCAAAATTTAGAATCCAGGCAAAACTGAGAAGTCTGCCACACCTTTTGGAAGGTCTGCAATTTTCTTAAGCAAAGAAAGCCTGTTCTGTCTAATTGTTTCATCTTCCTGCACATGGAAGTCATATTAGTAAATCATTTTCGATTGGGATGGAGCCGAAGAAGAACTTGTACAATTCAAATGTAAAAAGAAAACTAATTGATTTGATAGCATGTTGAAATTGAAACAAGCTCTACACATTCCTCAAGTTTGTGCTCCAAGACTGTAAACGAGCAGATCTTAATCAAGCATCCTAGGCTCACACTTGTTCAAGTTTAAAGAAAATGAGCTTCATTTAGCAGTTTACCTTGAATTTGTGTATAAAGCTTACACTTTCAAATGAAACGTATTATATATAATAAAGCAAAATAAAACTCCAAATCGTCATTAGAAATACCATTAAAGAATTCGAAAGTTAAAATCACAAAATATACCTAAGACTAATAAGAGTAAATAACACAAATGCATACTGGCCAATAATAAGAAGAGTCATTTTCAGATCATTTAAATTAGTTCTTTCGTCTATTGGAGTTGTCCCCTGTTGTTTCTTGTTGGTGTCTGGATTTATTTGAAGATGATGTGTGTGATGTTGGATTTATATTTTGCCTGGTTGTCTCAGTTTTCTACTGATGTAAAGAATGCTTTTTGTGTTCTGGACAGTGGATTTTATAAGGTCTTGTTGTGGTATGCATTTTGGAGGTCAAGTTGATTGTGGGTTGAATTGAAAGGGGTGTGAGAGCCGCTTGTTCTTTCCCTTTGGGTGTTGTAAGTACAAGGTGGTTCTATTTTCAACTGTTTTGATTTGTTCTTCCCTGTTGGTGGGTTAGCGATTGTTTGATAACCCCCTAATTATTAATACAATATTTTGTCCTATCAAAAAAAAAAAATTCTTTTGCCTTTTAGTGCCATTAAACAAGCTTACAAACAGGTTCATGAAACTCAGTTAAACAAGCTGATTAATAAATTAATTAGTTTTATAAATGAGACATAAATTATTAAAGATGCGAAGACAACATACCACCATCACAAATACTTGATTAAAAAAATCCTCAAGGGGTTGTACAAGCTCTGACGATATTTCAATGAAATCATCAACCTCAATACCTGCATAATCAGAAAAGTTAGATTTCAGTGTTAGCCAGGGAAAAGTGTTAATCAAACAAATTAAATCGGAGTGCCATTTTTCCTACAGAACATAATAACTCAACAGCACCAGCAGACCGGTAATAAATTGAGGATATACCAGGGTGAATTTTGTTTTTAACAGACAATAAAGTGTCCCATAAAGCTCTTTCTTCATTTGTTTCAAATGCAGCATCATCGACCTAATAAGATTAAAACCAAAACACCATGAGAAAGAGATTCCAGGATTTTGCAAGTGATGCAGCTCTATAATCAATCAAAGAATATGACAATTTTTCATATCTCAATCAATGTCCAACAAAGAAAATGACATTCTAAACTAACCAGAAATCTTACCAAGATTGAAAGAACAACATTTTCAGTTTTCAGTCAAAGATCTTAATACAGAGTTCACCATCAAACAGAAGGGCAAGAGCTAAATGCTCAAATATCAAGCTACTGGGTACTTCTTTAGTACCAAAGGGAGTAATAGTACCTCCATATAAGCATCCACATCCTTTCCACGGACAATTCTAGTTGGACGAGAATATGCTTCTACAACCTTGGGGAAAAGGTTGCCTTTCGACAAGGCTTCCATCTGCATTCATTTATTTTTATATGCCATCATATATCATTTGAGGATACTGAAAATTGATGAGCAATGAAAAGTAAAAGAGGGGGGAAGGGGGACTATTCATCTTTTATCTAAACATGCCAAAGAAAAACCCTCCTGAAAACAAAACATTCAGCAGCTCCCTAGCAAAGCAAGGAAGAAAAAATTACAAAAATGCACGAGATTCAACCATAAAACATTCCAAATAGAAAATATCCATCACTGTAGACATGCATCCTCCAAGATTTCTAAAATTCAGCAACAGGATAGTGAGAATAGCCTGCAGCAAGGATGTCAAGAATATTATTGCCTAAACAATCACAGGCCTTTTGCATCCACTAATAACTGTCTTCATAATTGAGGCAATCCCTTTCGGTATTGACACAAACATTTCTTGGATGCTTTTCGGTCAGTTAACTCGCCAAGATATACTTTCTACTATGGCCCAGGATATAGTGTCAGTTATGAGTTGAAGACCATCAATAAGGAAATTCCATTTCTGACAAAACTATCATGAATAGATATGGCCATTGTTGAGAGACATAAGAAATGAATACCTAAGACGAATAGCAACCAAGTGCACTTACTTTACATGCTGTTTTAGCAGCCAGACAAGGCAAGTTTGCACGCTCTGCAAGGGTGGAACGAACCACTTCCGGACTTATTCCCTTATCAACCTGCAGCCAGAAAGACAGCCTATCTGCATAAAATTCCCCAATGGCACTGATAATATTCATAACCTCCACAAAGCACAGAATAAAACACAATGTAAGGGTGAAACAAATAGTCTAACTAAATATCATCCTTACTCTTCTGTTCACTAAATTTTCAAAAGAAACTTAAAAAAAAAAAATCTTTAATGGAAAAAGATTATACACACCAGATATTGCTCCAATCTCCGTGTAACAAATTGATGTACCTGGAAAAAGAAACAATAAAGGATTAAATTCTGCACCATAGATAGATTTCTATAACTTAACAGTACATGATATATTTAGAATTATGTACAGTCACGTCAGTGGACTTGGAACCACTACAGAGGAAGCAAACATGACATTTTGCTGTGACACAAAAGAACGGGCTTCTTACATCCTCTATTGTGGTTGCATCAACTTTAATGGGTTGATTATCAGCAGCAAGTTCCAAAGCATGTTTCAAATCCATATTTTTATCCTTTTCCACTAATATCTGGACCTGCAATTAACAAGTTAACATTATAATAGTCTAATAAATAAAGCCTTAAAAGAGTTAAACTGATCATATACTTACTAGGCCATAAGAGATTCTTCGTAGGCCAAATGGATCATTAGTAGAGCTAGGCTGACAGCCAGCAGCAAACAAGCCAACAAGGCTATCCAGTCTGTAAAAAAAAAATAGATATTCACCTTGAAAGCACAATGAGCAGAGAATTCTACTCCATATAAATGAGTATGCAGGAAAAATGGCAATATTTTCATATGAACTCATATCTACAAAAGAGAAGATAGACTGATAAGGACAGTACAATTTTCCCGTATCTGTGGAAGATAAAAGAGACAAGGAATGGGATTTTGGAGATGTGGGGGTGCTACTGGCTTTTTGATATCAAGAACACAAGTTTTCTAAGCTACAGGAACCAGTAGGGATAACCAGGAATTCATCATATCTTATGCTATTTAGAGATTGTTTACTGTTGTGTTAAAATTATTATAGGGTGTTAGGAACTAGGAGTAAGCCACAAATTTAGCTCTTTTCCGTTATCATGAAATTTAAAATGATGAAAGTTAAAAGAGCTAATGACTTCTATATTTACAAAGGTTATATACTTTCATTATTAGGAGTCATTGTCTTTGAGCAACAGTCAAAGTCTAGTGCTGACAAAAGCAATAGCATTGGCTCTGGTCATAGTTGCAGCCACTTCATGCAACGCCATTTGCTTAAG